CTGCACACAGCAGCCAGGCCTGTGGAAGCTGTATCTGCTCTTTCTCCCCAACTCTGGGGGCTGTGGTGGCCCCAGCAGTGCCCAGGGGCAGGAGAAGCCGGAGCTGCGGATGGGCAGCCTGTTTTCAGGATGCATGGGCTGGGAAGAGGCGCTAAGCTGGGCAGGACACCTCCTCGAGGACCGTGTGACCTTTGGTGTTGGGGGCTGAGGGTGGGGGTCTCCTGTTCTTCTTCCAGGAAAGGGGACTGTGGCTTAGACCCAGCTTCTCCATCTTTTGTGCCAAGGCTGCTCTGCTGGTCTAGGGAAGACTGTAGACCCCTTTTCAGAAGAATATTTCAAATGGATCAACTAAAATCCACAAGATTTTATAAGGAAAGGAAATCATTTATACAGAAGCCCAGTCACTCTAGTGTGTTGAATGGTACCCTCCTAAGGACATGTCCCCCCAGAAGCTCAGAATGTGACATTTGGAATTAGGGCCTTTGCAGATGTAACTAAAATATCTAATCCAGAATCCTCTTAAGTGTCCGTGTAAGAGATAGAAGAGGAGACTGAGACACACGGGCCATGTGAACACAGACGCAGGGGTGGGGTGTCGTCCCCGGGGCCCGGATCGCTGACGATCACCGGCCACACCGGAGGCTGGGGTAAGGCCTGGCAAGGACTCTCCCCCAGACCCGCCCAGGGGCGTTGGGATACTGTGATTTAATATAAGAAATATATATTTGGTCTTCATCGCGTTCTGGGCTCAGCGCTCTTAAAATCCTCGGAATTCCCTAAGCGTTGAGAGCGAAAAGGTGTCTTTGTTGTGTTAATGAGGCGACCCTTGGGAAGCACCTGAGGGTGGGGGCTGATTGCCAGTGGAGCCCTGGCGCAACTAGAGGACCGACAGGACCCCGACCTCTGGGGAGGGAGAGGGGCTGGATGCTGTGTCAGTCCCTGGTGGCCAGTGATTCAGTCAGTCGTACCTATAAAGAAGCCTCCAGAAAAACCCAAAGGCCGGTTCAGAGAGCCTGGGGACAGCTTGGCAGCTCCGCAGCCTTGCTCGCATCTGGCCCGGCACCTCACCTGCCTGTCATTCGTATCCCTTCTCAGGTCCTTTGATTAACTGGTAAACGAAAGTGTTTTCCTGAGTTCTGGGAGCCGCTCCAGCAAGTTAATCGAACCTAAGGGAAGGTCTTTGGAACCTCCCAAGTGTAGCCTGTCAGTGGGAAGCACAGGTGACATTTTGAGCTTGGGACAGGCATTTGAGGAGGGTAGTCTTGTAGGACGACGGGGCCCTAACCCGGGAATTGAGCGCTGTCTCAGGTAGTCTGTGTCAGAAGTGAGTTGAATTCTTGCACACCTTGCTTGTGTCTGAGCATTGCTTAGTGTTCTGTGAGAACCCCCCAACTGTGTTAAACTGGTCTCGGAGCGCCCTATTTAGGAGCCAGCCCTGCCCACACCTTGATTTCAGACTTTGTCTCCAGCTTGTGAGGTAATAAGGGTCTGCTGTTTTGAGCCTCCACGTCTGGTCATCTGTCAGAGCGGCCCTGGGCACCTCACAGTGATCATCCGTAACAAGCAGGCCGTGACCTAGTGACGCACACGCTCCTTCATTCACGCTGAGCTGACTGGGCTTTGCAGCGCGTCTAACTCGTAATTTCGACTTGGTGACGAGCACCGCTGAAATGCAGTGATTTCTGCAGCGGCCGTCACAGCGGACGGAAAGAGCAGCGAGTCACACTGGGAAGTCGGCCTCTAAAACGGGACGGCAAAAACGGGTGTGGTTTGTTGCCCACATTCGTATTTGGAGGAGATCCCAGACTTCACTCGGACGTTGATACAAATAAAATACAAATAAAGACACCGTATTTTCCCCATTCGAGTTGACAGTGCTCCTGACTCCTGTACTTCCGGCTCAGATGGCCTCAAAGGACCTTCCAGCATGTGCTCCACGGCTCCGGTACTGGGGGGCCTGGAAACCTGGTCCTTTCTCACCAGGCCCAGGTGAGGGGACCACCCAGCAGCTCTGCGTCCTGGCTCTCCCTCCGCCCTGGAGTCTCCACACCTGTCAGGCGCAGCTGGGTAACTGTGGGCACGCTGTACCACCTGCCCAAGCCTCTGTGTCCTGCTCTGCCAATGGGTGTACTGATGGTACCCAGGGGGACCTGCTGTGATGACAACAGCAGGGCATACATATGCAGACACACACACACACACAAGAGCTGCTCAGCTAAGTATCATGCAGAGCCACGACCTACTAGGCGCTCAGTAAACAATCGCTGGGCTGAGTATCTTTCCTCCTCTTTGGGTTTGATCTGGGGGAGCATGCCCAGGGAAAGGAGGCACTTTTGACGAGTGAGTGTCTGCTCTGCCCAGGAATCTGACCAGATGGGGCACAGAGAGGGCACCAAACAAATGTTTATGACCCCTTGTGCCTGCTCCCATGCTCGAGGAAGCTGACTTTAATCTCAACCCCCGTGAGCAAAGGGAGTTTTCTGTGAACCAGAAACAATTTTCCTCTGCATAACACACCAAAAGGATTTTTCAGGTGTCTTCTATAACCCACCTAAGAAGGCAAACATTTTGAGAAGACATTGCACATTTGGGTTACTTACAAATGCATCCTGTGCTTTCTTTGTTTGTTAAAGAAATCTGGGCACGATGCTGAAGGACTTGCCAGGGGGAAATGGAGAGGACAGGCTTTTCTCATTCAGAGGGTGGCAAGGAGCCAGGAGTCACTGGACCACTCATCTCTGTTTCTTTTTTCTTTTATGCTGCGTGAAGCTAACTCCTCAGAAAATATTTTAAAATAAGGGCTCAGCAATCCCACAGAAAACTGGAAAATAAAACTGGTTAGAAGAAACACATTTGAAGAGTGTTTCCATTTTTTATGCAAACCCGAAAGTTTACCCTGTGTGCAATGTTTTTTACATAAGTAGATGATAAATTCCCCTTGAATTTGGTCAAGCGGAAACCGTTCTCCGGTCTAGATGTACACACAGCTCCCCTTTACCAACCGCTGAATGATCCCCCTTTTGGGTATCAGAATCAGGGGTGACTGCCATCCTTGGCTGCAGGCAGGACCTCTACCTGCTTCCAGATTGTCGTCTCTCCCTAAGTCCTCAATCTCTCCATCTCTATTTTAGCTGGGTGGTTTGCATGTGTTCACTGTTGTAAATCATTCTTGGATGTGGGTGGGGCATATTCTATAAATAAATACTGAACTGAGGCATCCTTGCTACGAGACCCTGACAGGCCATCGGCCTCCGCCCAAGCCACGGCAGATTCCTGCCTCACTGCGAGCCATTTCATCCCCTGGGGAGACCCACTGGCTACGGAGAACTGTGCCTCCCCACCCCACGTGCCCGGGGCTCCTGGGTCTCCCAGCTCTGGAGCAGCACCATCAGCAGCCATCACTTCAGGGCCCTCTTAGTGGTGCCAAGTCCTGTGCTAAGCCCTCGAGATACGGCATCTTGTTTACTGTTCTTCCAAGCTTACGAGGCAGGTACTATTATTGCCCTTCTTTATGGATGGGTAAACTGAGGCTCAGAGGGCTAAGTAACTTGCTTGAGGTCCCTGCCTAGTCAGTGGAGAAGAGGGGATCAGAACCCCAGCACTGTGGTGTCCACACTTCCAGCTGAACCACTGCCCCAGACTGGCTTTTCCAGGGGCCGTCTTCAGGATTTGGAACTGCCTACCCCGTTCCCATGGCCTCACTAGAAGACCCACCTGCCGGGGGCTAGGTGTCCAGTGACCATCCCGCAGGCGCCCGCAGTCAGGCCGGCTCACCTCTGGTAGCCCCAAAGGATGAATGAGTGGTCACACCTTTGCAGTTTCTGGTGGCTGACTTTTTATCTTATTTTAAACATTACGTGCATCAACCCATAAATTCATGCCGCAAATTTCAGTCTTGCTGTTCTCAAGGAAATGATGTCTTATAGTAAGCATCAAGGGGACAGACATTTTATTTCACTTTACTCCTTTTCTCCAAAAGCTAATTACTGCAGCTTAAACAAATACACAGCAACAATAACAGCAAACCGAGCCAAACCAAACCACTGTGATGATGGTTCCCAAATGTCTGGTTTTTTTCATAAACAGACGGCAGTCCATTTGGACCCAATGCCCTCTGGTGGTAAATTAACTGTGCCCTGCTTCCCTGGCCCCTTGCTGGGTAATAGTGGTCTACCTGTCTCCTATTTATGTTGACGTGTGCACACTTTGTGCATAATCTCTTAGGGACCAGACAAAAACACAAGCTGAGTAAGGAGGTAATAATAGCTCCCCTCCGACGGCTCCGAGGGCAGTGGCTGCAGGGCCCCGAGAGAAGGGGTCCGGGAAGGAGTTGTCTCCTTCCAGGAGGGCCAGCAACCTGGCTGCCCCCTCTCTCCACCTGGAACTCCGGAGACAGGCCAGCACCCCAGGCCAACTCAGAGATGCTTGGAACCAGCTCCTTAGTAACGGACTCCTTGGGGTCCAGGTTAGCGGGTCTTCCCAGTCCTGGTCCAGGGAAGGACCTGGGTCTCACTCAGCCTTGGGGGTAAGGGGACTAACCCCTCCGGATTGGTACAGCCCTGGTGGGTGCAGAGGGAGTGGGCGCCCCGGGGAGGAGCTTGTCAGAGACAGGCACATCCCCCACATCCTCCCCCCTGTACCCTGACCGAGCCTCTTCCCTGTCACATCCCGAACGGCCCCTGGAAGCGGGGTGAAAAGGGGTTCGCCGGAGCGAGGTCCCCCGGGAAGCCCAGCAAGGCTGCTCCTGGCCCCAAAGGCCGCTGCTCCCGTACTGAGGGCAGGACCCCCATCCCCTCGCCGGCCGGGCTCCCGTCGGCTCCCTGGCTCCCGCGCTACCGCCCAGAAGCCGGTCGGACTCCAGGGAGACCCCAAGTATCCGTCTCGCCACGCTTGTGCACGGTGTCCCCGCTTCGGAGCCGCGAGCCAGTGCGCCCGCCGCTGCGCTCCGGCCCCTCGACCCCGGCGAGCGGCCCCGCGCCCCTGCTCCCCGCGCTGCCTACCTGGTGCGTCGGAGCCCCGCTCATCGATGCCCAGCCGGCCCGCAGCTGGCCCCGGCCTCGCCGCGGAGCCCCGTCGTGGGCGCACGGCGGGCGCGGGCCGAGAGGCGGGTTATATGGGCGCGGGGCGGGGAGGCGCCGCGGGAGGGGGCGGCCGCGGCGTTAGCGCCTTCCGCCGCCGGCCGGGCGGGAAGGCAGCGCGGGCCGCGCAGCCGTGGCGGGAGGAGCGCGGGGCGGCGGGGCCGGACCGGGCAGGGAGGCCGCCGGCGCTCCGCCCCACCAGCTGGCCGCGTCCGAGTCGGGGTCCCGGGGCGCGCGCCGCTCCGCCTCCTTCCCGCCGCCTTTTGGCGCGCGTCGCCTGGGCCGCCTACCGCGGGCTGCACGCGGGCCGGGCGCCGGGATCGCGCTCCGCGGCCGGCTTGGGGCGCGGGGGCCGGGAGGGGGGCGGGGATGCCGACACTGCGTCCCGCCGCCTTCCGGGCCCGCGGACGCCGCATCTTCCCGACCCCGGGCCTCTGCCCGCCCCGCCAGCGCCGGGACCCTCCGCACTTGGCAGGGCCGCCGCCACCCCTGTCCGCGGAGTCCCGGCAGCGGCCTGCGGGAGACACGGGTGAGCGTGACGGCCCCGGGGCCGGGGCTCGGGTGCAGCCCCTGCGCCCGGGCGGCGCCCGCGGGGCTCCTCCGCGGAGAGGGCGCGGCCGCACCGCGGACCCGCCGGGACCCTCCGGGCGCGACGCTCTCGGCCTCCGCCCGCCCCCTCCCCGGCGGAGGTGGTGCTCCGCGGCCCCTGGGGACTGACTCGGGAAGCGAACACTCCCAGGTCGCGGCCCTCACCCCGCTCCCTCCCCGGGCCGCCGCCTCCCGGCCCCGGATACTGTTCCCCGTGTGCGCAACTACGCGCGGGTGTCCCCCCGCGGCACGTGGGCCGCGCACTCGGAATCGCCCCCAGGGCGCAGAGACCCACCTCGGGCCGAGCCCCCCACCCCCGACCCGCGGCACCGACGGCTCCACGGCCGGACCCCGGCACGGGGGGCGGCGTCTTCCAGGGCGCCCGCCGCACACGCGGGGCCTCAGCGCGAGAGCCCCACACGCACGACAGTGTCGAGCGGCTCTCGGCGGCGGGCACCCACTGCGCGCTGCCTCCTGGTGTCCATGGGACCCGTCCTGTGCCTCCGAACAGGTGTCCCCAGGCTAGGGTGACTCCGTGTCGCCGGTGGGCCTGCGCGCGAGCCGGGCTGCGGCAGACCGGGCTCCCCGGCATCAGGGTCCGCACCTCGCCTGGCGCCTTACTGCTCACCTGCTGTTTTCGGGGCGCAGGAGGTGGGGACACAAAGACCAGTCACACACAGGGGTCGATCTGGCCCCGACAGAAAGGCCTGCACCGCCGAGCTGGGCGTGCGCTTGCATCCCTGCCGGGTCGTGGAAGTCGAGGGGCGGCCGCGGGGACCAAGCCCAGGGCCTGGCGCGCAGAGGTGCGGGGAGGACGCTTCCTAGGCCTGGGTTCTCCGAGGGTCAGGGTCCGGCGCAGGTGTCCGGGCTGCGCGATCCGGTGGGCTGCGGAGTCGGGGGGACCATGAAGGAAGCCGCGGCCGGGGGAAAGGATCAGGGGTCCGGGGTGAGCTGGAGGACAAGGCACGCGCCGGGGAGCGGGCAGGGTTGGCAGGGCCGGCGCCCACGGAGGCGCGCGATCCCACCCGAGCGAGGGCGGGCTGCCGCTGCGCCCAGGTCCGGCCCTCGGCCCGTCTCCTCCGTGCGGGTGCCAGGCGGTGAGCGACCTCCGCGCTCTGCCTGCGGAGTCAGGGTGGTCCTCCCCTGGTCTGCGATGGGGGGGGCCCAGGAAGGCAGTGTGGGCCATTCAGCCAAAAGGCAAATAAAGAAAAACGAATGTTTATGAGTGCACCACGACGGAATACAACGCCTGTCCATACGCTGTTCTGTATTTGCATACAAATGCATGTCCGTATGGAAATATTACGTTTAAGTATAGATAGACACACACACACACATATATATACACGCACACAGAGAACGCCCGGCTATGTTTGCATTTCATATAAGCGGGTGATATTTTAGTGTAAATACATTCCAAGCAGTATTTGAGGACATCCTAAAAACGATTAGTTTATCCTAAGAAACGACTCTTCGTTTATCTGGAATTCCGCGTTAACGCGGGTCCGGCGTGTTTCTGGCAACGGCGGCTGCAAGGACTGCGAAGCCACGCGGACTGCGCTCGGGGCACATCCCGGGTTAGGCGAAGCGCCGCGGCTCCCTTAAGCGCGGTGCGTTGCCGGCGCAAACTACAAGCCCCACAATGCTATGCGGGAGGTCCGGGCCCTGACAGGCTGCGGCGCGCTCTACTGTCGTCATTTCCTGCCGCGGGACGACTGTTGCCGCGCGCCAGGCTGGGCGGACGGCGGGGGTTGTCCGGAGCGGTAGCCATGAACTTCTCCGAGGTGTTCAAGCTCTCCAGCCTGCTCTGCAAGTTCTCTCCAGACGGCAAGTACCTGGTGAGCGGCCGCGGGGTCGGGTGGGGCAGCTCGGGGGTCCACACATGCGGCCCTCGGGCAGGGGACTCGGCTGCGGACCCAGACGTCGGGCCTGGGCAGGGGGTCCGGGCAGGTGCCAGCCTCCCCGCACCCGTCCGTCGGAGGCAGACGCACAAAAACATCATTGTTGCCTTGACGTATACAGGCAAATACGTAATTCTGTTGACTGTAAACTTTTCACCGTCTCTCCTACACGCCAAATAAATGATTTAAATCACCAGCATCCTGTGCCCACTACGAAGAGGGCTCTCCACACAGCCGGTATTTGAGCTGTTCCTTTCACGGTGGCAGAGCTGAGCTATCCTGTACGGGAAACGTAAGACTCAAAATATACCCATACGGCCAGTTACATCCTCAGAACCTTGGGGGCAGGGGGAGATATTGGGCACTGGAGAGCCCAATATTAAGGAAAAAACACGCCTTATTAAACGTGTACTTAGTTTCATTTACCTCTGTGAACTGACTGATGGTTCATGATTTTTTTTCAGTATGAGCTTTATCGACATTCCTTTTAACTTTGGGTCTTTGAGAATTTAAGTCTCAAGTCATATGGTTGCCTTTTTTATGGAGGTATTATTCTTTTTTTTTAGAGGAATGCATTTTTTAATTAAGGTATCATTGATATACACTCTTATGAAGGTTTCACATGAAAAAACAATGTGGTTACTGTTCACCTTTATTATTGAGTCCCCCCCATACCCCATTGCAATCGCTGTCCATCAGCGTTGTTAAGATGCCACAGAGGCCCTATTTGTCTTCTCTGAGCTACACTGTCTTCCCCGTGACCCCCCACACACCATATGCACCAATCATGATACCCCACAATCCCCTTCGCCCTCCCTCCCCACCTCCTTCCACACCCCTCTTCTTTCCTAAGCGCTAATTCATTTTTGGAGTCTCTGAGTCTGCTGCTGTTTTGTTCCTTCGGTTTTGCTTTGTTGTCATACTCCACATATGAGGGAAATCATTTGGTACTTGTCTTTCTCTGCCTGGCTTATTTCACTGAGCATAATGTCCTCCAGGTCCATCCATGTTGTTGCAAATTATAGGAGTTGTTTCTTATGGCTGAATATTATTCCTTTGTGTATATTTATTACTTCTTCTTTATCCATTCATCTACTGATGGACACTTAGGTTGCTTCCATATCTTGACTGTTGTAAACAATGCTGCAGTAAGCATAGGGGTGCATATGTCTTTTTGAATCTGAGAAGTTGTTTTCTTTGGGAAAATTCCTTGGAGTGGAAATCTCGGGTCAAATGGTATTTCTATTTTTCAGTTTTTTGAGGAAGCTCCGTATTGCTTTCCATAATCCTTGAACTAGCTTACATTCCCACCAGCAGTGTAGGAGGGCTCCCCTTTCTCTGCATCCTCGCCAGCATTTGTTGTTGTCTCTTCAATGTTCGCCATCTAATTGGTGTGAGGTGATACCTCATTGTGGTTTTAATTTTCATTTCCCTGATAATTAGCAATGTGGAACATCTTTTCATGTGCCTATCAGCCATCTGAATTTCTTCTTTGGAGAAGTGTCTGTTAATTTTTTAATAGGGTTATTTGCCTTTTTGGTGTTTGAGGCATGTGAGTTCTTCATATATTTTGGATGTTAACCCCTTGTCGGATATGTCGTTTACAAATACATTCTCCCATACTGTAGGATGCCTTTTTATTCTGCTGATGGTGTCCTTTGCTGTACAGAAGCTTTTAAGCTTGATGTAGTCCCATTTGTTCATTTTTGCTTTTGTTCCCCTTGCCTGAGGAGATGAGTTCAGGAAAAAATTGCTCATGTGTATATTTACGAGATTTTTGCCTATGTTTTCTTCTAAGAGTTCTGTGATTTCATGACTTACATTCGGGTCTTTGATCCATTTTGAGTTTACTTTTGTATATAGGGTTAGATAACAATCCAGTTTCAATTCTCTTGCGTGTAGCTGTCCAGTTTTGCCAACACCGGTTGTTGAAGAGGCTGTCATTTCCCCATTGTATGTCCATGGCTCCTTTATTGTACATTAATTGACCATATATGCTTGGGTTTATATCTGGGCTCTCTAGTCTGTTCCATTGGTCTATGGTTCTGTTCTTGTTCCAGTACCAAATTGTCTCAATTACTGTGGCTTTGTAGTAGAGCTTGAAGTTGGGGAGCATAATCCCCCCAGCTTTATTCTTCTTTCTCAGGATTGCTTTGGCTATTCGGGGTCTTTTGTGGTTCCATATGAATTTTATAATGATTTGCTCTGGTTCACTGAAAAATGCTGTTGGTATTTTGTTCTTAGGTAGTTTTTTGATTACCAATTCAATTTCATTGCTGATAATTGGTCTATTCAGATTTTCTTTTTCTTCCTGGGTCAGCCTTGGAAGGTTGTATTTTTCCAGAAAGTTGTCCATTTCTTCTAGGTCACCCAGTTTGTTAATATAAAATTTTTCATAGTATTCTCTCATAATTCTTTATATTTCTGATTCTGTTTATATGTGTACTCGCTTTTTTTCTTGATAAGTCTGGCTAGAGGTTTATCTATTATGCTTATTTTCTTGAAGAACCAATTCCTGCTTTCATTAATTCTTTCTATTGTTTTATTCTTCTCAATTTTATTTATTTATGCTCTAATCTTTATTATGACCCTCCTTCTACTGGCTTTGGGCCTCATTTGTTCTAGTTTTTCTAGTTTTGTTAATTGTGACTTTAGACTGTTCATATAGGATTGTTCTTTCCTGAGGTAGGCCTGTTTTGCAATATACTTCCCTCTTAGCATGGCCTTTACTGTGTCCCACAGATTTTGCGGTGTTGAATTATTGTTGTCATTTATCTCCATATATTGCTTGATCTCTGTTTTGATTTGGTCATTGATCCAGTGATTACTTAGGAGCATGCTGTTAAGCCTCCATGTGTTTATGGGTTTTTTCATTTTCTTTGCATAATTTATTTCTAGTTTCAAACCTTTGTGGTCTGAGAAGCTGGTTGGTACAATTTCAGTGTTTTTGAATTTACTGAGGCTCTTTTTGTGGCCTAGTACATGATCTATTCTTGAAAATGTTCCATGTGCACTTGAGAAGAATGTGTATCCTGTTGCTTTTGGATGGAGTGTTCTGTAGATGTCTAAGGTCCATCTGTTCTAGTGTGTTGTTCAGTGCCTTTGTATCCTTACCTATTTTCTGTCTGGTGGATCTGTCCTTTGGAGTGAGTGGTGTGTTAAAGTCTCCTAAAATGAATGCATTGCATTCTATTTCCCCCTTTTATTCTGTTACTATTTGTTTCACATATGTAGGTGATCCTATGTTCGGTGCATAGATATTTATAGTAGTTATATCCTCTTGTTGGACTGACCCCTTTATCATTGTGTAATGTCCTTCCTTGTCTCTTGTTACTTTCTTTGTTTTGAAGTCTATTTTGTCTGATACAAGTACTGCAACTCCTGGTTTTTTCTCCCTATTAGTTGCATGAAATACCTTTTCCCATTCTTTCACTTTTAGTCTGTATATGTCTTTGAGTTTGAAGTGAGTCTCTTGTAGGCAGCATATAGACAGGTCTTGTTTTTTTATCCATTCAGTGACTCTGTGTCTTTTGATTGGTACATTCAGTTCATTTACATTTAGGGTTATTATCAATAGGTATGTACTTACTGCCATTGCAGGCTTTACATTCGTGGTTAACAAAGGTACAAGGGTAATTCCCTTACTGTATAACAGTCTAATTTAACTCAGTATGCTATTACAAACACAACCTAAAGGTTCTTTTTTTTCCCTCCTTTTTCTTCCTCCTCCATTCTTTATATATTAGGTATCATATTCTGTACTCTTTGTCTATCCCTTGACTGACTTTGGGGATATTTGATTTTCCATCTGCTTAGTAATTAATTGGTCTACTTTCTTCACTGTGGTTTTATTTCCCCTGCTGACAGCTATTTAGCTTTAGGAACACTTCCGTCTATTGCAGTCCCTCCAAAATACACTGTAGAGGTGGTTTGTGGGAGGTAAATTCCCTCAATTTTTGCTTATCTGGGAATTGTTTAATCCCTCCTTCAAATTTAAATGATAATCGTGCTGGATACAGTATCCTTGGTTCAAGGCCCTTCTGTTTCATTGCATTAAATACATCACGCCATTCTCTTCTGGCCTGTATGGTTTCTGTTGAGAAGTCTGATGATAGCCTGATGGGTTTTCGTTTGTATGTGCTCTTTTTTCTCTCTCTAGCTGGTCTTAAAAGTCTGTCCTTATCCTTGATCTTTGCCATTTTAATTATTTTATGTCTTGGTGTTGTCCTCTTTGGGTCCCTTGTGTTGGGAGATCTGTGCACCTCCATGGCTTGAGAGACTATTTCCTTCCCCAGATTGGGGAAGTTTTCAGCAATCACCTCCTCAAAGACACTTTCTATCCCTTTTTCTCTTCTTGTTCTGGTATCCCTGTAATGCAAATACTGTTCCATCTGGATTGGTCACACAGTTCTCTTAATATTCTTTAATTCCTAGAGATCCTTTTTTTCTCCCTGTGCCTCAGCTTCTTTGTATTTCTCTTCTCTAATTTCTATTCCAGTTACTGTCTCGTCTACTACATCTAATGTTTTTAAATCCTTGTATTGTATGTTTCATTTCTAATATGGAATTTCTTAATGATTGAATCTCTGTCCTAAATTCGTCCCTGAGTTCTTGAATATTTTTCTGTATCTCCATGAGCATGTTTATAATTTTTATTTTGAACTCTCTTTCAAGAAGATTGATGAGTTCAGTTTCACTTGGCCCTATTTCTGGTGTTTGTGGGATTTTTGTTTGAACCAGTTTCCTTTGATGTTTCATATTTGTATGTGGCACCCTCTAGTTCCCAGAAGCTCTAGTCTTTGGAGGTGCTCAGCCCCTGGAGTGATGTCAGGGGCTGCAGGGGAGCGGCGCTGGTACCTGGGGGGAGGAAAGAGCTGTTTCCTGCTGCCCAGCTGCTGTGCCTGTCTTCCCTGTCAGAACCAGTGGGCCAAGCACACAGGTGTATGCCTCTGTGCTTTGCGTTTGTAGTTGCTGTGGGTGGGGCTTCCCTCTGGCTGGCCTGATGCCAGGGTAGGGACTGCCGGTTTGGGAGCTGGTGCTGGCAGGCCAGGGCTAAGGTGCAGCAGGCTCTGTGTCACAGCAGGGGGCCTTGGAGCTGAATAGCCAGCCAGGGGGATGGAGCACCCTGAAGCTCCTGAAAGGTTCCAACCTGCTTGGCAGTGTGCACCCAGACACCTTTGTCCACCTGTCCTTTCTCCTGAGCAGCAAGCTCTGTGCAGTCCTTGCCCCTTTAGCCTCCCTCTCGCTGTTAGGAAGCCTCTCAGACTGTCCACCTTTCTTTTGTCCCAGAGCAGCCAGATGTGGATCCCTGTTTTCCACAAATGGCTGGAATCCCAGTCTCTCCAGGTATTCCGCCTGTCTTAGCTTTCCAACCCCACTGATCTCCAGAGCATGTAATGTCGGTTCGTGCTGCCCGAGCGGATCTCCAGGGCTGGGTGTTCAGCAGTCCCAGGCCTCCACCCCCTCCCTGCTCCGTTTCTCTTCCTCCCTCCAGTGAGCTGGGGTGGGGGAAGGGTTCGGGTCCTGCCAGGTCAAGGCTGTGGTACATTACCCTGTTTCATGAGGTTTGCTCTTTTCTCCAGGTGTATGGATTCTGGTGCAGCCTTCTTTACTGTTGTTCTTTTAGGATTAGTTGTATTAACTGTATTTTTGTATTATTTGTGGTTTTGGGATGAGTTCTCTGTCTCACCTCTCATGTTGCCATCTTTAATCCCTCCCTATGGAGGTATTATTCCAAGTCACATAAACAGCATTTGACTAGAATATACAAATGCCAGTAGCTTAAATGGCACCTCAAAAACTTTGGTATATTTTTCAAACTGTTGCACATATATTTATTTGTTTTAAAAAATCACCTATGAAAATTCCAGGGAATTGTAAATAGAAAGACTATACTTTATTTGCTTAATTGTGGTCCTTTTTTGGTTTTTACACTCTGGTGAAAATATTGTGGGACACTTGATATTAATTTTACTAGTATTAACGTTCTTCAAAGTTCTATCCCAAATACTAAAGAAAATAGGTCCTAGGTCTGTGTTGCCATTTTTAATATCTTGCAATGGATTTGTATAATTTTTCCAGTTGCTAGTACAAATATTCCATTTCATAAGTAATTCATTGTAACTGACCAGTTTTCAGAGCTACAATATGAAAAAAATAAGCACATGAAACGTTTGTCTCACTCTCCTTTTTCCATGGAAAACTCATGGCCTTTTTTGTAATGGATGTTAACAAAACACAAACCGATAATCTAGCTCGATCTTGATAAGTAAAAAAATGAAGCAATTAACATTTAAAAATCAGTTCTTGATTTAAACTGTAATATAATCTGTAATCAGCAGGTAAGTATACTCAAACATAAAAATTATTTGCTTAGATATGGATGTTATTAACAAATGTGGATATAAACTACCTTTAAGGAAACTGTTAACACTCAAACTCTTTATAGTAGCAGCATCTGTTAAGGTAAGCCTGTCAGGTGGGTTGTGGTGCTGCCTCCTGGCAAGGGGTACAGTGCTTCCCCCCACCCACCCCCAGTCTCTGCCCTCTCACGCTCACACCCAGTACCTCTGACATTTGTCATGCCGAGCAGCTCTCCGTGGCATCAGACCCCACAGGTGAAGGGCTCAGTCTGCAGGACTGGCCCACGGCAGACACCAGTCCTGAGTAGCAGGTCACCCACAGTCTCAGTCCAACTTGGCCACATGCTGGAGGGCTCCCACAACTCCTCCTCGGTTTGGTTTATTTATTGGAGCAGCTCTCAGCACTCAGGGAAACACGTATCCCTGTTCATTAAAGGATATGATAAAGGATGCAGATGAAAGCTGGGTGAAGAGGTGCCTAGGGCAAGGCCTGGGAGGGTCCTGAGCGCCAGGAGCTTTTGTCCCTGTGGAGAGGGATTGTCACTGTCCCTGTGTGGATTTGCTCACCCACCTGGAAGCTTTCCAAACCCTGTACTTGTGGGATTTTATGGAGACTTCATCGGGTAGACATGATTGATTAGCTCCATTTCCAGCCTCCCTTCTTGAGAGGATGGGGTGGTGGGGTGGCTGAAAATTTGCAGCTTCTCATCATGGCTTGGTTCATTTGGGGACCAGCCCCATCCAGGGGCCCCAAGGGTCACCTCATTAGAGCAGCAGATGTGCCTACCACCCAAGAAGTTACAAGGTTTCAGGAGCCCTGTGTCAGCCCCAGGAGCAGAGACCTGTGTGTCGACCTGCATAGTGGTGGTCCGCACGCACTTAGGAAGCATCCGTGCATTGGTGCCCTTCGTTGTACGGTTGCCACGCGGCACCTGCACTGCCTCGGTCCTGACCCCCTGTGAGCTGGCTGGGTGACGGAGCGTGGGGAGCACTGGGGAGCTCACAAGAGCTTTGCCCGTGCTGTTTCCTCTTCAGTCCACACATGATCGAGAAAGGAGTAGAAAGTGACTCAAGCAGGGGGTTTCAAAATAATGCTGCAGTATACCAGTTTGAACACCTGATTTGTGTATTTCCACTTTATCTTTTTATGGACTCATCTTGTGTTTAGAATGGGCTATGTGGGACCATGAGACAGAAAGCATGCCTGAAACCCCGACGATGGGGGGCGGGGGTGCTTTGAAAGCTGCTGCTGGAGCATGGAACATGCTTTCTTTTCCTCTCCCAGGCTGCCTGTGTCCAGTACCGGGTAGTGGTCCGGGATGTGAGCACCCTGCAGGTCCTCCAGCTGTACACGTGCCTCGACCAGATCCAGCACATCGAGTGGTCAGCAGACTCCCTCTTCATTTTGTGCGCCATGTACAAGCGAGGGCTGGTGCAGGTGCGTGGGCTGCCCGCGGGGCTCGGCCCCAACACCTCCCCGGAGCAGGACTCCACGGGGTGATCTTGTTCCAGTTTGGAAAGGAATTTCTTTAAAATTACAATAGTTCTGTAATAGTTAGTACTTAAAGAGGAGAAAACACACAAATATACTGTATATAGTATATACTTATTTTGCATGTTATTTTATATATAATTCAGTTATATAGTTTATGTATTTAATTAATATAGAAATATATAATCCAATTGTATGTAACTTAAATATAATTCAGCTAATATATATTATTTTAAATACAATTCAGCAATAATTATAGTTATTTGAAATATAATTCAAGATGGGTTACTAGACAGCAGTCTAGCACCTTGGACAGACATCCTGTGCTTTGGGAGCCCCTCCGATGCAGTATTCTGTTACAGACCCGAAGCCTAACTGAGTGAGGTCTTAGGGGCAGCAGAATGAATGAAGGGTTTGAAACTACAGCGACAGGAAGTTGCCTGCAGGTGTGGCATGCTTCTGTGGTGCGGCCCGGCACCAGCCCTTCTCAGTGGGGGATTTCGAGAGGTCCTGTGATTTGACTCTGCAAAGTCGGTGTGGGCTGCTTTCAGCAGAGTGGTGTGCCGACTGGCTTGCAGCCCTGCCTTTCTGTGGTGGACACAGGTGTGGTCTTTGGAACAGCCGGAATGGCACTGCAGAATCGACGAGGGGTCCGCTGGCCTGGCGGCTTCTTGCTGGAGCCCAGATGGGCGCCACATTCTCAACACGACGGAATTCCATGTAAGTGCGGTGCCCCGAGGGCACCTCATCTGTCGGTGGGGGTGACTCCCAAGCCCTGCTCCTGAGACTGCTGGGGAGTGCTAAGTGGTGATTTGTGGAGATGTCTGTCTTAAGTCATCAGAGCATTATAAGCCCACAGTGTTGTTGCATAATCTTTGTGTGCAGTTTTAAAGAAAAAACAGATGAAAAAATCTTGAGTCATATTTTTAAGATATAAACAGTTCCATGGGTTCAGCAGCAGAAAGGGAAGTTCAGTGTGGACTGATTACAGCTCTAAGATGTCTGGTCGGTGCTGGTGATCGCTCATCTGCTTGTTCCTCAAGCGCCACTTACTCCGGACCGCCAGCACTGTGCGTGAGCTCCGGGCTCAGATGAGCACTTGAGACCCGACAGTGAGGCTGAGACAGCTCGGGGAGGAGAGCGTGTCTCAGACACGCCTGGTGAGGGGTTCCAGAACTGACAGTCACCAAGGAGAGCTGGGCCATAGATCTCGTCCTCTCATAAAGATACCAAGTTAGGGAATTCAGTGTATGTAAGGTGTTCAGGTAGAAGGTCTTTGGTGTCGGCAGTGTATAAACACAGAAAAATGCACGAGTCCCTTTATTAACATGCTTTAGGAGGGACGGGTAGCCCAGTGGTGGGCCCGCACCCACTGAAGGCTGTCAGTGTCTGGGCTACTGGGCGCCCTGTAGTGCCCTGATTCCCCAGGCTCTGCCAAGGTCAGCATGTGCGTGAGGCCGGGCCAGTGCTTATTCCCAGCCATGAAAGTGCAGCGTGACCCACCAGGGTTTCATTCAGCTCTTTTCCAGTTGGCATCATCTGGGATATATTTTCCATCCAACTGTGAGGGGGTGGCTGAATTCCATGCTCCGGCACCTGCGTGGCTTCCACGTAGTACCTGCTTCAGTTTTAAACCATAGTTTCAATCCGATGTCTGCTGATGCGGTTGATAGAGAGTGAGGCCGAGGTGGGTGGCTGCAAGGTCTTCCTACAAGTGCTAACAGATGCTCTTCCCTTTGTCCTCCCCCACAGCTGCGCATAACTGTCTGGTCCTTGTGCACAAAATCTGTATCTTACATCAAATATCCTAAAGCTTGTCAACAAGGTAAGTCAGGCAAAGCTGGGGTGGGAAGTGCCTTTTTATAGGAAAATCTCAAATTTAGGCACAGGTAGCTTCAACAGTATCTTGACATGTAGCCAATCCTGTTTTTCAGTACCTCCCCCCCTGGATTGTGTAATGTATGTCCCAGGCCTCCCAGTACTTCATCTGTAAATGTTCCTATGTGTGTCTCTAGAAGACAAGGAATGCCCTCTTAAAATACAGTCACGGTGACCAAAGAGCGTATAGTTAAAGGCACCCCAGGGAGGGGATTCTCGTGTCATTCTTTTGCCTGTTATGTGACTGGATGTCACGCCCTGTGGTCTGTGTCTGCCCCGGGACCCCACCTCCCACACCACATTCTGTACTGCAAGTCTCTGTTGAGGGGAAGTGGTGAGCTGTTTATTTAACTGGACCGGTGAGAACTGGACGGACATTCTGTTCTGGAATCTTGAAATCACACTGATGTATCTTTAATTGAGAAACAGAAAGAAGCTTTAGATAATTTGACTGTTTCTTCCATTTATTTCTGTTGCCATCAGCAGTTTGGAACTTGAGTTTGAATAAGTACAATTGTACATTTTTTTTTCATTTTTATAATTTGAGTATCAGTGTCTGTCCAGGACACACGCATTTCTTGTGCAGGAACAGTTGCTCAGGTGCTCTTTGATTCACAAGGTATGAGATGCAGCCAAGGGTTCTTTAAGCCAGTATAGAACTGGAAGATACTTTAACATTCTTAACCAAATTTATTTTCAAATTCTTACTTTAAATTTACTTTAACAAGTAAATTCAAAAATAAAAATAAGGAATGTAGTAAAAAGCTGACCTTTAACTAGCTGAGTTTACCTGCAGCTTATTTTCTAAGAGCATGACAGCCCTTGAGCACCGCCTTTGTCAGTGGAATTTTGGTCCTTCAGGGTCTGTGTGAACAGGAAGCGGGCTGCAGACCCCCGCCATCCCTCGTGGGGGAACACACACTCCTTTGTCTGAGGAAGTGTGTGGCCTTCTGTGTGTGCACGCCCTCTTCTGACCTTGGTTTCCTTGTCCGCAGTCTTTCCTGAAGGTCGCCGTGCACCCCTGCCTCCTGGCCACTTTCTGATGGCAGGCCTCTCCCTCTTCCGTAGGAATAAGCTTCACCCGCGATGGCCGCTACATGGCGCTGGCGGAGAGGAGGGACTGCAGGGACCACGTGAGCGTCTTTGTCTGCAGCGACTGGCAGCTCCTGCGGGTGGGGGCCTTCTCTGGCCTTGGCGGGGGGGAAGCGGGCGAGGTGCTGGTGTGCCAGTCCCCAGGGACCCTCGCCTGGCATGGGCAATGTGACTTCACCTTCCAGAGGGCAGGGCACCGGGTGTGTCTTGAGGCTGCTTGTTGGCTGAGTGCTCTGAAGCCTCGCGGGCACGTTGTGCGCTTGGTGTGGGAGCTAGAACCCTTCTCATCAGTCCTGGGATATTTGCAAGTGTTGCCAGATCAGGAGGAGGAGGGAACCTGAGTTTTAGGCCAAGGGAGTCTTGCATCGTGTAGGACTTCAAGGTGCTCACAGGGCCTGGGCACCGAACCCTGCCCTGGCCGTACTTATATCTGAAGGTGGGGCAGGGACAGAGAGACCTCTGGGATGCTGCTGGGGCGCAGAGGAGGCCTCATCAAGCCGAGGCAGGGCATGTCCTAGGAAGACGTCTGAGCAGGGCCTTGATGGAGAGACTGGGCCAAGCAGGAAGTAGGGAGGGGAGAGGGGGCATCGGGCAGGCCTGCCTGGGGACCCCCACTGTGTGCTGCCATCCCGGCCCTCCAGCAGCAAGCAGGCATTTGGTGACAGAGGACGGAGTTGTAGGTGCCCATCCGTTCCTGTACGTGGGAACTTAACACTGTGTATTAACAGTGCCCATTGTGAGGCCAGTGCCTTTTTGTTGAGAAAGCGTCTCACCTGCCTGCCTCTCCTCCCCCTCGGCAGCACTTTGACGCAGACACCCAGGATCTTGCAGGGATCGAGTGGGCCCCGAACGGCTGTGTGCTGGCTGTGTGGGACACCTGTCTGGAGGTATGAGCAATGACCGAGGAGCCCACTCCCTGACGTGCTGCTGCCTGTGTTTATCTGGCACTTTGGGGGCAGCAGATAAATGAATAGATGCTGATTAAAGCTTTGAGCTGCAGCCGATCTCCCCTTTGCACAGCATCACCTTTCCAGTTGCAACCCCAGGGCCCCTTTTCCAGCATCCCGCACCTCTCATCCTGTTCGCTCGTGCGCTCTGTCCACGTCTCTCAGTCTTGCTCTGAAGCGGCTGAGTCTTTTTCCCTGCCTGGGGAAGTGGGCCTGTGAGTAACGGTGACGTGTCTCACCTGCAGTACAAGATGCTGCTGTACTCCTTGGATGGCCGGCTGCTGTCCGTGTTCTGCGCGTACGAGTGGTCCCTGGGAATCAAGTCCGTGGCCTGGAGCCCCAGCAGTCAGTTCCTGGCAGTCGGGAGCTATGACGGAAAGGTGGGCGCAGAGCAGCACACGTGGGGACATAGCAGCTGGCAAACCACGTGGCCTCACGCGCGCGGTCTTCCTCAGGTACGCGTTCTTAATCACGTGACTTGGAAGGCGATCACAGAGTTCGAGCACCCTACAAACATCAATAATCCCAAAATAGTAAGTCCGGCGTGTGTGTTTCTGTTTGAGCCATACTTGGGGAAGGGAGGTGGACAAAACCTGTTTTCTCCCTTTATTTTTTGTGACACAGGCACCCAGGCCACCATAAACTCTTGTTACTGTTAACATTTCGGTGCCAGGCTCTGCCAGTGGCCTTCATTCTTCCTGTCACGTTCCCAAGAGGACGCAAAGCCCTCTCCCCACCCTGTCCCTAGATGGCCTTCTCTGGCTGCTCCTGCTCTGCGGTGTCTAGGGTCTCCTGCCGGCAATGGAATGGGCTCTGGGCCTCGGAGAGAAAAGAGCAGGCAGACCCCTGTCCCTGTGGAGTGGGCACCAGGGCTGGGTGTCCCCGGGGCAGGCGGGGATGGCTGCGGGCTGACGGTCGCAGCCGCGGCGCCAGGGAAGGGTGCTGTGGAATCTGGAGGAGCGGTTCAGGCGGCAGGCACAGGCAGTGCGAGGGCCCCGAGGCGGGATGTGTGCGCATCCTTTCAGCGGGTGCTGGGGGCAGCAGGGACACAGAACCCCCAGCCTTGGGGGGCAGCAGGGGACAGGAGGGCCCTGGCCTTGGGGAGTTGGCCTGAGATGGCAGGCATGAGTAAGTGGGTGCAGTGTGGGGTCAGCTGGCCTGGCCTGGGGGCCAAGTAAAGGGGCAGGGCCAGCCTCTGGGGCCAAGGTCCTGAAGTGGGGCCATGGCCGGAGGACCCACTGGAAGCACAGGTGAGCCGAGCCAGGGTTGTAGGAGCTCTAGTGGGAGCAGATTTTCTGCTGCAAAGCTGCAGGGCGGTTGGTGGCCCCATTAATCCTCGGGCACAGGCCTGCCTGCCTTTGACCCAGTGCAGGCCACTCCCGCTTGGCCGTCAGGCTTCAGGTCACAGTGGTCCCTCATTCCCTGGGCCCGCGTCTGCCACTTGTCACCAGTGCAGGCTTGTGTTTGCTCGCTGCTGAGTGGGGAGCAGGCTCACAGGGGGAACCACAGGGAGGGTCCCCACAAGGGAGAGGGCGAGGGGAGCCAGCGTCTCTGTCCTCTTACCAGGGGCGGCAGCACCTTGCACTTAGCTTGGGCATCCCCACTGCCACCTACTGTCGTCCCCCTGCCCAGCCCATCCTGAGAGGTGGGGCGGGCCTGTCACGTCTCCAGGTGGTGTATAAGGAAGCCGAGAAGAGTCCGCAGCAGGCGCTGGACCACCCCGCCTTCCCTCCCTGCAGAGCTGCCGCCGGGCTCTCCAGCCCTGAGAGCAAATGTGAGCAGCCGCGGGCCGCGCGCATTCTGTTAGCTTTCCTTCTTTTATGAAAAAGACCTCCTCTGTCCAGGTAGATTTCAGAAGTTATTTTTTACTCCATTTTTCCTTCCCTGTGATACGTCACAGCCAGTATATCTCGGCCAGTGAGTCAGGAGAACCCCCCTTCCCCCCGGTCAGTTTTTTCAACTGCATACAAGCTCTGGAAATCCAGATTTGACGCTGGTGCTTTGAGGGCAGTGTTTTTTCATGAATAAAATCTCCGTGGATGAGCCAGAGGGGTCAGGAGGCAGCCAGCGGTACGGGGCCCAAGCCTGGGGCTGCAGCGAGCTCTGGGTCCCGCCACACGGCCTGGGAGGCTGTGCATGCTTGTCTTCTCTTCTGTAAAATGGGCGTAATCACAGCAGCATATAAGCTTGAAGGTAGCAGGAGCACTGAAGCAGGTGCCAGACCCTGGAATGTCACCTGACCATCAGGGCTCGGCAAACACACCAGGGAGGGGTCCACACGCAGCGGGCACACCACCTACCAGGCCTTTTGTTTTGCAGCCTTCTGCTTCTGGCTGTGTCACGTTTGTTTTTTTTTTTTTAACTTAGTTTTTAGAGCACTTTTAGGCTTACAACAAAATTGAGGGGAAGGTGCAGGGAGTTCCCTGTGCCCTCTGCCTCTCCTGTGTGACGGTCCCCACAGAGCCATGGGCTTGTACAGTCAGTGAGCCTGTGCTGGCCATCACACAGGCCTCCACCACCACGCCAGGCTCCCATCAAGCCCTCACCTGGACAGCCTGTTGCCCATGCCTCCAAGTCAAGGCCCCTTTTCCTTCTACCTGAACTGAGCAGACCGGGCAGTGTCCCAGGCTGCAGCAGCATCTCAGGCTAGATGAGAACTCTCCCTGTTCTAGACGAGATTGCTTCGGTGCCTGTGTCCTTGCAGATGTTGAAGCCTGCCGCTGACAGAGCGAACCCCAAAATTGGCATTGGGGCGCTGGCCTTTAGCCCTGACAGCTACTTCCTGGCAACGCGGAACGGTCAGCAGCCATGGGCCCGTGCGGTACATCCACCCACCCATTCCCCTGGTGGGCGAGGGCCCGTGTTGGGCGGTGTCCACTCACTGCTCCCCTTTGGTAGTGTGGGCGTGTAGCCTACAGTGACTGGGTGGCCGTGGCCCTGGTGAGGACACAGAGCCCAGGCAGAGCGTGGCCATCTGCCATGGAAATGGCCATAGGGCAGGGCCCAACAGGCAGCGAGCAGTGACCTGGTACCTGTGGGTCTTCCTTGCCCAGACAATGTCCCGAATGCCGTGTGGATCTGGGATGTGCGGAAGCTGAGGCTCTTTGCGGTGCTGGAGCAGCTGCGCCCCGTGCGCTCCTTCCACTGGGACCCACAGCAGCCCAGGCTGGCCATCTGCACTGGAGGCAGCAAGGTGTACCTGTGGTCGCCAGCAGGCTGCGTCTCAGTGCAGGTGCCTGGGGAAGGTGAGCACCATGCTCCTGCTCAGCAGGTGCAGAAACGGGGCCCTGGGGCACCGCCTTGGGTGGAAAGCAGGTCCCCGCCTGTGTCCTTGTAAACCTCACAGCCAGTCTCTAGCGTGGCTAACGCGGCCCTAACACAGCCCACTGCTCTGAGCTCACAGGACTAGGAGGCCCACAAGCAGAGCCTTGGGGTTCCAGCCAGCCCGCCGTAGCCCCAGCTCAGCCTGCTCTAGGCCCCTGACCCTCTGGCCTCCCACCTTTCTGCAGGTGACTTCCAGGTGCTTTCTCTGTGCTGGCACCTGCACGGGGGCTCACTGGCTCTGCTCAGCAAGGACCACTTCTGCCTCTGCTTCCTGGACAGCGTGGATGTCGGCACGGCCGGGGGACAGCGGGGCGACCACACATAGTGCCATGCAGGCGGGGCCATGTGAGGGCAGAGCAGAGCGCCAGGGCCCAGCTGTGGGAGGATGAACTCTGGGGACGCTTTCTAGCCATGGGTGCAGCTGGAGAGGCCTGTTTTTATATTCGTACAGCAAGGCCTTTTTGTAAATATGTACAGTATAAAACATTCTTGTTATTTAAAATATTTGCTAATTCATAAAATGGCTGATGCTGCTTTCCTTGGAAGGCTTAGGTTACAGGCAGGTTTTTCAGGTGAGCCAAGTTTTGGGTTCCTTGGGGAGATGAACTGGGCCCCCAGCAGCTGGCCCCCGGCAGGCGTCCTGTCCCACTGTGGAGCTGCCCTCCTTGGACACCGAGTGCTCTGGGACAGTGGGTGTGGGTTTCATGTGGGGTCTGTCTGGAGTGCTGGGAAGGGAGCCCTGAGCACCACGAGAGCAGTGCCACCAACTGGTAGCCGGGCTGAGGTTGATTCCACAGAAGTGCACCAGGATCTGGCTCTAAATTCAGGTGCTTCTCACAGGAGCCAGGGTTGAGAAGCCAGGGCAGGTGAATTAGGATCTGTTACCCTGGTTCAAGCACACTGTTTTGAGGACCACTCATCACCTGCCTTTTGGTAGAGAGCTGTCCCAGGTAAGCAGTCGCTTAGAACCCTCATTATATGCACAGCAAGCTGACAGGTTCGCAAAGCTAGTTCAAGCCTTAAACTGTACTTGAGAGGCAGCTCTCCTGCACGGTACAACTTCAGAAAGGAACCACGCCCACTCAATTCTGAATGTCTTTACTATGACCAAAAGCAGAGGCTTAAGACCCAAGCAAATTTTGAGGCAGCCTTTCAATTTGGACAGGCTGCTGCATTTGGATCACAACCATGCCAGTGAAAGCTACACCAAGGTTGTATAGACGAGCGAGAAACCCATGGGGCAGCAGTTAAAAGTTGGTCAATAAACGCTTCAGGTCAAACCCACAAGGCAAGGACGGGTACAGAGCAGCAGGCTATGGTCCCCGCCTGGAAATGCTTCAGGGTGGAGGACTCAGGCTTGTTCAGGGCAAGTCTCACAGCCTTGTATCTGTGGAAGCTGCAGCATCCGAGGCGGGCACTAGCAACTTCATGAGAATCTAATATGGTTCCTTCTTTTAAAGGAAGTTCTTTAAAAGCAAACTAAGCAATTCCCTTTTAAATACAAATATGACACATAAATACAAACTCAGAAAACAGAGAGTTGTCAAAATTCTGTGCAAAGAACTGTCAAGGGGACTTTCTCAAATCAATGTCCTAAAATGATTTCCTGCAAGCCCTTTTGGGCCTGAGAAAGATGCTGTTAAGTATTAACACAATACAGATTGATTTTAGAAAAAGTGTAACTTTAAGGCAAATATATTTACACAAAAGCAACTGTTCGTTTAGGCGCTGACAAGGCAGACTGTCTCCCCTTAGTTTACCAGTCTTCTGGCTTCCCTTGCACTTAGCTTTAAAAAATGGATTAAATTTCAAAATACAAAATTTGACACCAAGTATAAATGTATGTGCAACTACAGGCAGTGGGGCATTAGGCACCTCCCTGGATGTTACATCTACACAGCTGAGGTGCTAACAGGGACACTTATATTGGAACCACACAATATAAACATGCTAGAAGGCTGGAGGCAGGGACCACGAGAAGCAAAGGGACACACTCCAGGAAGATCACGGAAACTGCAGCCGTAGGGTACGGAATACCAGGCAGTACAGTGATAGCCAGGCTCACTCTGCTTTGCCTGTCGCTCGGAGTACCGATGTCCAGCATCCAGCCACAGCGGTACCTCTTGTGACTGTTCTAGTTGCACTCAGATCCAGTGGCAGCGGAGCTGGCCGAGGTATGACGCCCCAGGAGTCCCCACATCTGCCTGCTTTTCTGGGAAGAGCCTGGAGTGCATCTCTAAAAGCCTATTTTGCCTCTGGTCATGGAATAGCCTAGTTTAGCCTCATTGTTAATGAAGGACATCAGTCCCACGTAGGTCTCAATGAGGAGGGGGCGCTCCAAGACCAGCACACTGTTGGCTTGTCCCGGCAAGGGACTTTCTTTTTGGGCTTTCTTCACAGCTTGGATTAGCAGAGTTTTGAAGCTTTCCAACTTTAAAGAGAAATCATGGAGCTGATCAGTTATCCATCCAGGAAACCCCACCTGTCCTGTGCCACCCGCCAGTCCTGGTGAGATGCTTCTCCAGCCACGGCCTGGGGCCCCTAGCTTGCCTCCTCGGTGTGGCCCTCCAGGAACATCAGCTCTTACTCCTGTGCTCCCCTGTGACCAACACCCCAGTGCCATGGAGGCCGGCTCTCTGTGGGCCTCAGTGTTTTGCCTTAGGGACCTACCTAATCCTCATGCCAGCCACCACGTGAGAGAGCAGGCCACAGAGCACTGCTGGCAAGTGGGGGCCCACCGCCAGGCCACAGCTCTGCTAACCACTGGCCTCTCGGACTGCTCTCCTGGCGAGTGTGTGGACTGCTTGGCTCCAGTGCAGGCTCGGGTCAGCTGGCACACTCAGGCCCTCTGGGCCCTTCTCTAAGCCAGTCGCTTTTGCAAAGGGCCACAGCACGGGGCCAGCTGGCCAGGAGCCACCACCCACACGGGGCTATTTAGATGTACATTCACTAACATTTCAAAGTGTGAAAGCTTACTTCCTTAATTTTACAAGCCACAGATCAGGTGCTCAGCAGCTACACATGACCACTGCCCTGGGCAGGGCAGGCCTAGAACATTTCCGTCACCACTGGGTGGCACTGCCATCACATCCATCTCCTTACCTGGCACAAAGAGGCTGTCTTCTCATCTGCACCGGCCATCGGGTGCTCTATGAATGTGGCATAGGGCACATTGGTGGACCAGGGGTTCCATCTGTTTATGAAGGAGGGGCGACTCTGCTTGTCCCACTGGATGCGGATCCCAAAACCTTCTCGCCTGCCGAGTCAAGAGAAATGAACCTGATGTCACACGGCAGGCCGGTGTGCCCACAGCAGCCTGGTCAGTTACGGGGTGTGACATTACCAAGCTGTTCTACAGCTAAAGACAAGACTTAGCTGCCTCACGGCAGAAGAGGCCTCGAGGACTCCAATGGCAACCGGGGTTTCCAGTACAGCAGCCTAAATACTCCAGGACAAGTCTAAACAGCTTTAGTACTTCTAAATACAACAACAAACAACACACTGCCACGGTGCTGCTAGGTCTACCCTTTACACACTTAGTGAAACTTGGTAAGTCATGGGACGACGTCACAGGGGGGGCGAACTGAATGACATTTTTGTAATTTTTCCCTGAGGTGTCATTGTTGGTTAAGCTCATGTTTAGTTCATCTTAGCTTCCTAAGTTCTATCCAACCTCTACATCCAAACTTAAAATGTGACCAATGTCTAGATTTTCACATTCAGAAAATTCCCTTAAAGCATGGATATCAGCTTCTGAAAGTTGACCCTTAAATGTTTTCAAATCTAACCTTTAGTGATTTCTGTAAATTAAATACACTTAAAAAAAAAACAAGAAGAACAGGCTTGACAAGACCCGTGCAGTCCTTTCCCGGCAGGAGGCAAGCTGCCGGGCTCGGCCCTCAGCAGAGGGGGGTCCACGTCAGGGCTACTTCCACGCTCCTCCAGCCCGCTTCGCTACAAGCCTGCTGCGGCTGTCTTGTGCCAGAATCCCTTTTACTGCTCCAGGCCACCCAGAAGTCACCTGCTTCTAGTGTAAGAAGCTCTACTAACTTCAAGCTTTAGTTTTCAGGTTTCCATTTGGGGCGAAGGACAACCCCTAGGGTGGCTTTAGAACGGTGGAAACAAGGCCAGCACTGGCCTCTCTGGCCAACAGCCTTACTTGTTGAGCGACTTCGGGGGAAACTGGAACTCCCCGAAGGAGATGGTGTCCACCGCGCTGAGGGCGGCCCTGACCACCTGCTGGCACCGCAAGCCGATAAAGTCGTACTTGCAGATGAGCAGCGCCTGGTCGGTGATGAGCACCAGCCGCTCCTTCTCGTTGTTCCAGTGATCCACCCTGCGGGCAGGCGACAGGGTCACCGCTGCGCAGGAACCGGCCATCCCCCGCCCGCAGCCCCACCCGGCCCCCGGCCGTCCGGCTCACTCGGTCAGCAGCCACACGCCCTGGATGTCGCCTTCCTCCACCGGCCGCACCACGGCGCTGATCTCCTCCACAGCCTGCTCGATGGTGCCGGGCTGCGGGACGGGGCAAAGGTCACGGCCCGCCCCGTCCCCGGGGCTCGCCCCTGCTCCCCTACCCCCGCCCCCCGGGCCCCTCACCCGAAACACGAAGTACTCCTTGACACGGGCGCGACGCGTGGGGTCGTGGACGCTGAGCGGCCACAGCGTCTGGCGCAGCGGCGTGCCCGCTCCCGGCCGCCCGCCGCCGCCGCCGCCGCCGCCGCCGCCGCCGCCGCCGCCCTCCTCGCTGGCCGCCAGCAGCGCCGTGGGGCTCGTGCCCGCCGAGTCCACGGAGTCCCGCAGCTGCAGCATCGCAGACACCGCAGCCACCGCCGCCGCGACACCGACCGCCCCACTACCGACGCGGCGCCACTACCGACGCGGCCGTCAGAGCCCCCCGCCCACCGGCCGCAGCGATTGGCTCCGACAGCCGGCCCCGCCCCGTTCCCAGTCCCCGCCGGCCCTCGCGATTGGCGCTTCCGCGACTGTCCCCGCCCACCGCCGTTCACTGTCGCTCCCGCCCCTCGCCGCGCCGGAAGCGCTCGCTGCCCGCAGGCCACTTCCTGTTTACTAGCAGGGAGGGGCGGGGCTGGGGCCGGTTATCAGGGGGACGCGGGGCCCGCGGGAAGGGGGACCACAGGAGCAGAGACCCCTTCCCGGTGGTCGGGATGCTCGTGCCCTGCCCGGCCCACGTCCGGAGGTGGCTGTCCCCCTCCCGAGTGACCCCTCCTGGGCCCGCCCCCGCCTTGGTAGTCGCCCCCTGGACTCGCCCCCGCCTAAAGTGACCGTCCCCGGCCGCGGTCCGCCCGGAATGACCGCTCCCCGCCCGTGGCGGCCGCCCCCTGGACGTGACACTCGCCTCCGTGACCCGGCCCCTGCCCCCTAGCCTCGTGTCCGAGTTCACGGTCTCCCAGACGTGGCCGGTGCCCTGAGGACCGAAGGGTCCCAACGGGTGTCGCATCGCATGGCCAGGGAAGCAGGGGCGCCCCGGGTCTCGGTGCTTTTCTGCGCCCGGCACCTTTCCCCACCGCAAGCTCATGGAGTGGGGCGCCGACAGGGACCCAGCACTTGCTAAACGCAGATGTGCATAGTCTTCACTGCATCCAGGAAGCTGCACTCCTTTGACCCGTTTCACAGAAAGGGACATTGAGGCACAGGGCCCGGTGACTTGCCAAAGTCATTCCATCAAGGTCAAACCAGGACTCACTGTAGGCAGGTTCCCTGCCCCTGCTCTGTCCCGGGCACTGGAACTGCACCTGTTGTTCCCTGAGTGACCCTACTGCACCCAGCGCTCACTGCCCCAGGTGTCTGCCATTCCTGCCCGGGGCCGCAGCTCTCCGTCCTGGCCCCACAGGCCCCAGGCTGATCTCCTCACCACCCTCTTTGCACCGTCCTCCCAGGAACCCAGGGCTGTGACCCCATCCCAAAGGCTATACATCCATGACAGTTTATAGCCCTCACAAATGTGAGCACCTATGACTGATCCTCACCCAGTGGGGCACTTCCATCTTCTGCTGCCACTGCTCATGCCACCCCTCACTCTTTCCACCCTGAAACCTTGCCCCACCCATATCGTGTCCACCTTCCAACACTTGGTTGAAAAACACTGTCCCAGGAGATGTTGCTCACGACACCTTCACATATAATAATCGTCTGCATGTCCTCTGGGTCACTCTGTTCCACGTATGTGTCCTGCATGTAATTCACTTTGTGAGCCGGGCCATTCTGTGTGTGCATTAGAGGGGTTCAACCAAACAAACCCCTCATGTGTGATGTGAACACACTATAGTGTCTGCTGCCATTGAGATGGTTTGGAGGGCTCTAGTGGGTGCCAAGGCCACACAGCTGGCACAGCTATGCCCATTAGCTCGGCCCCTCCTGGATGCCCTCACCATTTGGGAACTACCCAAGGTGCCCCAGCCTTCTTTTCTCTGGGACCAGCCTACTGCTCAGATGTCAACATCGGCAGAAACACCAACACACCACAGGTATGGAAATAGATTTGGTACTTTGCTTCCTGGAAAAAACAGCTTCAGGGTGCTGAGTGAGTGTGCAGAGGAGAGGGGCAGAGCGCTGCTGACCCTCTGGCCTGTGGAGAAGGTTGCTGTAGCCTGTGGCCTGGGGCTGTGTCACACCAGCGTCAGGCCCTGCCTCTATGTGGGGGAGCCCCTCTCCTGGGCAGCCAGAGCCCCAGGCTGAGTCTGCCCTGCTGGTGGGCCTGAACAGGGCCCCTGAGGGGCAGCCTGAGCTGCTTGGCCCGGTGTGCCCACTGACCCCTCTCCTGAGTCTGCCTTCACTGTGTGGGAGAGTCAGAGCAGGACCAAAGGCCCACCTATGACAGCAGCAGGCATGTGGGCCCAGGAGCCAGGCCACAGGGCTTGAACCCCTGCTCCTCTGCTCTGTCCCAGGGACTCGGACACTGAAGCTCTGCACCTTCGTTTCTCATTTCACTGAGTGGGGATAATAATAGGTCCGGCCTCTAATGGCTATTGGGAGGATTAATGAGTTAATAGCGGTGCCAGGTTTAGCATCCTGCTTGGCCTCTGCTAAGAGCCATCTCAGGGTCAGCTGCTACTCTGATGTTGCTCGTTGAGCCTCGTGCCAGTTATGTTGCAAATATTGCCTTTGCTCCCAAGACACGTGCGTGGCACTCGGAGAGTATCACCCCTCTTTCACTGAGGAGAACACAGTCCCAGGGAGGCTGTCACTGGGTGGAGGTCACACATCAACAGAGCCAGGGCCTTCTGAAGTCCAGGACCTGTGCCCCAGCCCCCACCCCCTGCTCCCCATGCCGGTGGACCCCAGGGGTGGAGGTGGGGCACAGGCAGAGGGGAGCTTGTCCTCACCCAACACACTGGCCCTGCTTCCGTATTCACCAATGTGCAGTAGACCTACACACTCTCTGACATGATGACAAGGGAGAAGCCCCAGTTTCCTTTGCCCATGACCTTGACAAGGGTTGGCTCAATGGGAGCAGGTGGTGAGAAGGGGAGCCAAGGATCAGGGGAAGAGACTGAGGGCAGGGAGGGTAAAAGTGAGCCACAGCCATGCGGGTGCTCTGGAGGGGCTTCCGGGAGGCGGCAGCCACACTGGCATGGAAGAGGCCAGGCCTTCTCTTGGAGCAGTCAGCCCTTGGGGTCTGAGCTCCAGCTTGTCCACACACAGCCGTGGCTGACCTTGAATCCGTTACTTAACCTTCCTGCTTCCCGTTCCTTGTCCAGGAAACAGGAATGATGAAACCTAGCTCACAGGTTGTCATGAGAGGGTAAAGGAGCTAATGCCAGCGGGACCCACCTGGCCCAGCACACCCTCAGCACCTGCGCCCTGAACACCCCAGGTAGGCAAGATGCTCGGGGAACGGTGAGGGCACAGGAGGGCAGGGCCCTAGGAATGAACCCAGATCGCAGCAGAGCCTGGAGGAACCAGAGCCTAGGGTCCAGGCGTCAGGATAGCCTCTGGCGGGAGGACGGCCCCCGCACAGAGACTGGTGGAGAATGAGGCTGGGTACAGGTAGGTGAGGGTGGGCGTGAGATGGCAGGGGCCCTGAGTTCTGTCTTCTTCAGTGAGATGGGGGTGGGCCATTTGGTGGAGACGGATGGTGATAATAGAAGGGGGAGCAGGGGAGCTGTTAGGGACACGTGAGGCTCACTAAGCAGCAGGGAGCCTTGGGGCCCTTGCGCACGGCACCCATCTGGTGCGAGTGGAGAAACTGGGACTGGACTGGTCTGGGCATTTGCTGCATAGCTATGGTCAGGGACACGGAAGGGGAGGCCAGATTTCCAAGAAGAGGTATTTATTATTTATGGAGAACCGAAGGGTCAGGGATTCCGCCCCCTCGTGGCTGACAGGCCAGCCCCGCCTTGGTTTCAGGGATGGTGGCAGAAGACAGACCCCAGGTCAGAGATGAAGGACTGTTACTACGCACAGGAAGAGTGACGCCTGGGGTGTGAGCTTCGTGTGGGGTCCCTGAGCTCTGATTCCCATGGGAGTGATGGGTGTGTGTGTTTCACTGCCGCACACAGGGGGTGCACACAGGACAGACCCCAGGCCAGCCAGCAAGCTGGTCCTTGTCCCCAAGAGGACACTCCCCCTGCCCTCAAGGTGGCTCTCTGCAGCTGCAAGGCTGAGAAAGTGCTCAGAAAAATGCGATCAGGACCTAGTGTTCCTGGCACACCCAGCAAGACGTGTACATCAACCGTGTCTGCATGGTGGCCCTGGGGTCCTGGTTTCTGGTCTGGCTAAGAAGGCACTGGGCCCTGCAGGGACTAGTGCCTGGGAGAGTTTGGGTTGGTGGAGGTCATGGAGAGGATGTGACCTCTGGTTGACCCTCAAGCTGGCCCCAGGCAATCGGAGGCTCCTCTCTCCTCTTCTTGGAATGTGCGCCCCACCGTGGGAGCCCACTCCAAACATGCAGGAGAGAGTGAGGTGGTGTTGAGACCATCTGGACAGTGCACGTGACCGAGCCTGGCAGAGGCCTCCAGGTAAAGTGTAAGATTCAGCGGGCACATGCAGAGACCTGGTTCTGTGGCCAGACAAGCCTCCAAGCCCCCGCCCTGGTTAGGCCTGTGGCCCGCCTATCTCCAGAGCCAGCCTGCTTTGGCCTCTTCCTGCCCTCCGCACAGCCGGGTTGCAAACCAGCAGCGTGCAGGGATCAAGAACAGAGGCCTGCATGGGGCCAGGTGGCCACAGGGAGAGTAGGACCAGGGCATCTGGAAGCCAGGGCCTGAGAGTGGCATGCTGGGGCCAGAGCCATCAGAGAGGGTGTCCTACACGGTGGCAAGGACTGAGTGTTGGTCTGGGGACTGGATGCCCAGTGAAGAACTTGGGATGTGATGAAGAACTTCAGCAGGCAGGGGCCCCAAGTTAGGCAGGTGGGTCCTGGGACCCCCGGATGCTGGGAGGCAGATGGTGAGGATGCTGGCCCCAGTGCCCAAGCCGTTAGAGGACATGGGATAACCTGGGGGCACCCATAGGTCCATACATTTGAGAAATGGCAAGGGAAACGACTGGGCTTCAATTAGATGATCGATAGCCCGGGATGCCAGAGCAGCATCCCCCATGGGGCCGCAGTTCCGAAGTGCCACAGGCCGGGGCTTAGCAAGAGTGTGTCCTCTCAGTCTGGGGTCCCGAGGCCCAGGTGCAAGGCGGCCGCAGGACCGCACTCCCTCTAGAACTGGCTCTTCCCTGGCCTCTCCTAGTTTCCGGAGGTTGCGGCTATCCCTGGCATTCCTGGCTTGCGGCTACATCCCTCGCGTCTCTGCTTCCACCATCATATGCTTCTCCCTGGGTCTCCTTCCTCTTTGTACAAGACCATCAGCCATACCGGGTTAGGGCTTACCTTACCTTAACTACGTCTGCAAAGAGCCCATCTCCAAATAAGGCTGCATAGCATGGGGGCTGGGGGGCAGGACTCGAGCATGTCTTTAGGGGGGACACAGGTCCACCTGTAACAGGTGGGCAAACAAGGGGAGGTTCAAATGGAAATCGTGGCTCTCCACACGCACACACTGGTCGTGGTGGGGAAGATGGCTTGTGACTGGGGTCTGGAACGGAGTTCCTGAGAGCTGGGTCCCTGAGTTTGTGACACTTCTGTCCTGGGGCTTTTGAAAGGCCGTTTCCCGCACTGTGAGCAGCCTCCGGGCAGCCTGGGGCACACATAAGTGGAGGGTTATGTCATCATGTATCTTCTCTCTCTGCAGAGGCCGTGAAGTCTCCACAGGGCCGTGTGGGTTTCTGTCTTATCTTTCAGATGATGCTGCAGTTCAGCATTTTAAGTCAACATCCCCACCTTTGACATCTGTCTCTGATGTAAGTGGGGGTCAGGGCACCAGGGGTCAGGCACGTTCTAAATGGGAGCCCCAGGGTGGGATTTCAGAGCTGCCAGAATCTCTGGGCCCGTCAGCTCCCCCATGTTGGATGTAAGTGCTCGGCCTGGACAATATTCCCATTCTCAGGGTCCGTGGGATGAGCTCACCCGAGAGCATGCACTCTGGGAGAGGCCTCTCCCCCATCTAGTGACCAGGGTGTCGGTGGGCCCAGGGCTGCATCTAAGGCTGGACAGTGCTTGGCAGCCGTCGTGGCCCCCAGGGACCCGTCTGTGAGCTGTCGGAGGGTGTACTGTAGGGGCTGCCTTTAATCTTGGTCCTTGGCAGGTCATGACAGAAGTAGGGGCAACTTTGACAAAGGAACACCCTTCCCAGGAGGGGAACTATGGCGTTGGGCATCGAGAGGGCAGGCTTCCCACATCCTATTGAAGGTGGGGAGGTGGGGGCAGGATGTGGGCAATTAGCATGGACACAGTTCTCTGCATCCCCTAAAAGCTGAGTTGCTTCAATGGTGACGTTCATCAGGTCCCGCATCCACCAGGGACGACAGTGTGGCCCGCCTCCACCCTGCTGCCCACCTTACTGGGCTGGTGCCCCAGGGCTCCCTGCTCACCTGGTGGGAGCTGCAGCCTTGGCGTCTGGCGGGATCCGTGGCAGGGTCTGGCTTCACGGTGTGCTTACCCTGTGAGAGCAGGCGCTGGGAGGATGCCAGGGGACGCTGGATTGGCTGGGGCCAGGGGACACTGAGGAGGATGTTGCCTGGGTCTGGGGTGGCAGTTCTGGCTCTAGTTGGCACAACAGGTGAGGGCAACGGGCACACTACTGCCCCCCTGCTGCAAGCACGGGCGGCTGCAGAAAGCACGTCCAGCAAAAAGGCCTCACCCCCGGCTCAGCTTCCGGAGGAACCCTGAGCACCCCCAGGATGTGTGCTGCTGAGACGGCTGGGGGGCGAGGCCCTGTCCGGCACCCCTGGGGGTCCATCTCCTCTCTGCAGGACAGGCCCGGGGCTAGCCCCCACAGCTGGTATTCGTTTTCCAGGGGGCTGCCATAAGAAATGACCACAGACTGGTGCAAATCCCAGGAATCCATTCTGCAGGCAGGAGGTCTGCGATCTGGGTGCTGGAAGGGCTGCTCCCCTGGAGGCTCCTGGGAAGAACGTCTCTGGCCTCCCTCCCAGCTTCTGGCAGTTGCCGCTAACTCGGGCACTTCTCAGCCTGTGGGTGCATCACCCTGACCTCTGACTCCATGTGGCCACCTGGCCTTCTCCCTGTGTGTCCCTCTCTTCTCTCTTGTAAGGACACTTGTCATGGGGTTTACAGCCCACCGTAAATAAGTCCAGGATGGTCTCATCCTGACATCCTTAATTATATTTGCAAAGACTCCTTTCCCAAATCCAGTCACATTTGCAGGTACCAGGGACGAGGACTTGGGCATATATTTTGGGGAAACACAGGTCTACCCACAACACTGCTGTACCCCAACACCTGGCACCATTGCAGGAGGAGCCGGCTTTTCTGCTCTTGGAGTTGGCAGGCGATCTAAAACACCCTGGCACCATTTCTGGACCTCACGCTCTCCTTGATGCTGCCCCCCAACCTCCTGGGTAGAAAGGGCTGGGATGGGGTAAAGGGTAGGGGCCTGCAGTGGGGTGTGGGCCCAGCTGGGACAGGAAACAGCAGCCACATTTGCTGACCCGGCGTAATGGGTCTGTCCACTCAAAGGCTGAGTGTGAACCAGCTTCAGTGGTGCCACTTTGCTAGTGTTTCCCACGCAGACCAAGGCAGACAGACGCCATGCCTCGTCTAGGGCCACACGCAAGGCACAGGCCTGTCCAGGGCCGTATGGCTGGTCAACAGAGGGGCCCTGAGCCGGGTCTGCTTCAGATCCCCTGTCCTGCCCTGTGCAGATTGCTTCTTTGATTTTAATTTCTCTTCTGGTTCAAGTGTGGAGGTTTAGAAATGAATGCCCGAACCAGCAACCCGAAGCCTTCCCGCTTTACTGGCAAATCGTTTGGTGTAGGGTTTCAGGTGCCATACATCTTTACCTAGAGGGTCCCCTGCCTCTGGCTCCAGCCAGGAATGGTGCTGATTAGGGTCACCTCTGCACCCCGAGGCGCTTTCACCCCAGCGCCTGCAGATGCCTCTGTCCCTAATTTTTCGTTCTCTCTCCTGCCAGCTGAAGCGCTTGTAAAAGTCGGACAGGTCGCTGGCATCCTGTCTTGGACTGCCAGTCATGTTAGTGGGGGGGCTTCAGAAGGCTGTGTGGACCCCTGTCCATGCAACCCCCTTTTCCTACTCTCTGCGGGACCGAAGCAGGACTGCAGGAGGGGAGCAGCCCTGGGGAGGTGGGAGGAAGCGGTTTGCTTTGGACATGAGGCCACACTGGTCAGGTGAGCCCCCATTATTTTCCTGTGGACCAAAGGCTATTTTTATCATTTCTGGCAGAGAAAGAGACAAAAACATTGAAAAGCAGCCTTTTGAGAATTCTTTTCACACAAGCTAGATGGTGATTTGGCCAAATGTGAAAGGGACATGCAGTCTCTCCTCTCCCTGGATTAGCTGAAGCTCCACTTCAGGCCTGACGCCCTGTGTGAGACCCTGTCCAAGGCGTGTGGCGGGTGGGACCAGGGGGAGTGGGGACTGCTGCTCAGGGTCCTCCTGGTCTGAGTGTGGGTGCCTTCCATGCGGTGTCTGACACCTGCAAACACCGGGATCAGGACAACAAACCGGTGAGTACCTAGGAGGAGGAGTCGGTGAATCCCAAGGTGGAAGTGGGCGTCTTGCTACCATTTGGCTAAGGGCCCTCGGGATGGAAACTCGAGCTGGGGTCTGAGCCCGAGGCGGCCCACGCCTGTCCAGAGCTCCAGGCTGAGCTCCGTGGGGGTCGGAAGCCTTGGCCGACAGGGAGCAGAGGGCTTCACTTCCCCCCTCCTGCACCAGGGGGCAGTGCCCCACAGCAGAGCGCCTGTCACCGGAATCCTGCGCGCAAAGCCGTGCCTGTCAGCTCTTCTGGCCGAACGTGTGCGTGGAATGCAGTGCCAGTAAAATGTCCAGTGCAAGGAGCGGGACAATGTGACTCCTGAGTCCCCTGGGAGAATGATGGATGAGAATCAGCAGTCTACACCTGGGGGAGACACAAAGGCATGATGTGGACGGAGTCCCCTGAGCCTGTGGTCAGGAGGCCCCCTGAGGATGAGGCCACTTCCTCATTGCCTTGGCGCAGGGCAGGGGCGAAGCCCAGGGTGGGGGTGGGGGCGTCAGCTCAAACGCCCAAGGACAGATGCTGTGTCCCATCAGTGGAAGGCTGGCAGCTAATGACACTGGGGCCACTGAATAACCATGCAGTCTCCGTGCCCAGTGTAGGGCAGGGTAACTTCCATGTAAATAAATACCCGCAAAAAAATGTTAATAAAGAACATATTCCTGATCCTTCTAAGTGATGTGCTTATTTCTAAGTGATGGAGAAAACAACAGAGTGAAGAACCACTTTTTAAAAAATTTAAGCTATTTAAACTAAAAAATAACTGTGCACTTGAGCATGTGAAATTAAAAGCTGGTATTGTCTGGAAGCACCATCAACCACATTAAAACTGAGACCACAGACCAGGAAGGCACTGGCAAGCCTCACCCACTGTCCCTTTTGTTGGGAAAATGCACAAAAGTAGGCGGTGCCCAGGGAATAGCTGTGCTCCCTTTAGTCTGATCACTAGAGGAGATCTGCGTTACATCTGTGTGTGAAAGTACATTAGACATGTGTACAGGTTGACTGCTTGTTTCAAATGCCAACTCCAAGCACAGCCCTGGTGGTGCGCCTATTGTCCGTACGGGAAGCCACATGGGAGTGTAAGCAGCTGGAGGCTTGGCTGCTGCCCGCAGGGTTCGGGCTGGGCAGGGAGAACCTCAGGGGGAGCCACACGGTTGCAGGGCTGAGTGTCCGCGATGCAGTCTGCATGAGGGGGCTTGGCTTTGCCAGGCATCTGCGGTGGCAGGAAGGGCACAGGACCCCCGAATGGGGCTGGGTGGGCAGGTGTCCTAGCCACAGGGACTCCCAGCAGGAAGCGTTCACCTTCCTCCCACCTGCCTGCCTGCCTAGCACCTGCCTTTAGACTGTTCACCTGGGAGCTGAACTTGGTGCCCAGGACCTGGGGTGGGCAGGGGTGGATTACCACAGCCCCAATAAAGCCCTTTCAAGCTAGGGGCGGGCTAGGGGTTGGGGTGTGCACACAGGTCCTGTGTTTTTGTAAAATTAGCAAAATAACTTATCTTTATTTCTTGAAGGGAGCTCCCACATTTTAGGTTTCAGGCTCCGCTGGACATCCCTTCCCAGCAGCCTCCTTTTTCACCCACAGGATCCACCCAGATCTTTTCCTTCTTCCTCCAAGAAGCTGGAGAATTCTCTGAAACAGCTGCCCTCGTGCCACCGTCCGCGGTTGGACGGGATTCCCTGGTGAAGTGGGTGAGCGCTTGTAAAGGTGTCCTTTGCATCAGCACATGGTGACCCAGTGCCCACGTTTTGCCAAGCGCTGCTCAGGAGAGGTGGGCGATGGTGTGAAGATGGGAAGGGCAAGGATCCACTGGGAGGCATTCAGGGAGGGGGAGACTCACAGACACTCACATGTACCCTAGCTCATCCCCATATGGATGTGGGGTGCTTGCGGGCCTCGGCAGGGGGCCGGGAGGAGCATGGGCCAGCCCCCTGCTGTGATCCCAGCCAGGGGCTGAAGGGTGAGACTGAGCAGGGTGGGCTTCAGGGAGTGGGGGTAGCAACCAGTGCTTGGGGTTTCAGAGGACAGTGAAATCACCCAGCAATGAACTGAATTGTGTGCCCCCAAATTCATTTGGTGAGGCTCTAACTCCCAGTGTGACTATTGGGAGGTGGGGTCTTTCAGGAGGTGATTAAGAAGTGAGGTCACAGAGGTGAGGCCTGATCCGCTAGGGCTGGTGCCTTAGAAGGGGAAGAGCATGCTCCGTCTGTCTGTCTGTCTCAACCACGGGAGGACACAGGGGAAAGCGTCGTCCGCAAGCCCTGCAGAGTCCTTAGCAGGAACCAAATTGGCAGCACTTTGACCTTGGGGTCCAGCCTCCAGAGTCCTGAGAAATAGCCGCATGGTGCAAGCAGCCAGTCTGGCATTTTGTTCCTGCAGCAGGTCACGCTGACACCCTTCTGGGGCCGTCACACTCACTGGCTCCCGGCTGCTCTGTGCACTTCATGGTTCTCCTAGATTAACACGCAGCAGTGTATGGGGCTTAGTGAAGGTCTCCAGAGCCAGTCCCCATGTCTGGCCCCCAGATCTGTTTGCAAGCTGGCATCTTGGGGGTGCAGCCCCCCTCTGTATAGCAGGGTGACAGCAGGGCTGGCCTGACAGGGACCCCCCATTAAGATGACTATAACCCTCCAGGCTGGAATGGGGGGGCAGGATAAATAGTGGGGAGGTCTCTGTTGCAGCTCCACTGTTCTGCACAGCTAGGGGTCCCTGCCTCCCAAGCTCCTGGCCAGGGGCTCCTGACCTCCATGAGGGGTGGTGTTAAGCCTTTCCTGTCACCCGGGACCACGTGAAGTGTAGGAGGGGAAGCCCCAAGAAAGCCCCTGCTGGCTTTGACCGTCTGTGAGCCTCTGCAGCGGGCCCAGCTGGGGCTTGCCTCCCCAAACCTCATGCGACTAATGGGAGGCCTATTTCCTGGCCCCTCGTCTGGTCCCACTCAGCCTGCACTTCCCCCTGCTCTTCAAGAACCTCCCAAAGGGACTGTCCCTGCCCCAGCAACCCCACGACCCCCCGGAGTAAGTGAATTCCAAACCAAGCCTGTTTAAAGGGAGGGAAGTAAGTCCTCTTGAGAGAGACCCCTGCTCTGGACCTCCTCTGGGGAGCAGGGCGCCCCCAACCCCAGGCCACGGACCAAAAACTGCACAGAGTAGGAATAAAGACGCCCGGAAGGTGGTGGGTGACCAACCACGTGGGGGCCAAAGAAGTGCGCAGAGGCCCACGGAGGCGACCAGCCCCTCTGCCCGCCGCTGGCGAGGGCGCGGGTGGAGTGCCGGGCGACCGACGGAGCTCCGCGGGGACAAGCCCAAGCCGGTTCCTGCTGGGACTTACGGGGACGGAGGGCTGAGGGCTGCCCGGAGGACAGGGCTCTGGGAGGGTCTGGGAGCCGGCGACCGCTCCGCCCCGTCGGGTGGGGAACTCAGCTCGCGCGGGAGCTGAGGTTTGCAGCCGGAGGGGAGTGGGGCGCGCGAACGGGACCACGGGGCGGGACGGTGGCGGGGACCGGGGGTGAGGACCCCGGCGGGGCTGTGGGCGGGCTGGAGGCGGGGCCTGGGAGCGGCGGGGGTCCGGGCGGGGGCGGGCTGGGGTCGACGGGGGCGTGGCCATGCCAGGGGTCCGGGCCGGGGCGTGGCCAGGGTGGGCGGGCCTCCAGCGCGCGGAGCTCCGCGCTCACTGGCGGGCGGGGCGCACCGGGCGCTGGATCTTGGCGCTGACCCCAGGCCGCGGGCGGGAGGCCGGACGCTCCGCACCTGCGGCGACCTGCGGTGGGACCGTGCGCGGGCACCTGTGGCTGCGCCTCGTGCGCCCACAGCCCGGGGCCATGGCGCTCGTGGAGGCGGCGGCTCGGAGGGCCGGCCGGGGCCGCCTGTGACTGCGGACAGGAGGGGCCCGGCGCGGGGCCGCGGGCACGATGCCTTTCCTTCCCGAGGCGAGGGCGGCGGGCCGCGCGGTGGCCCTGGCCCTGGCGCTGCTGTTCCCCGCCGTGCCAGCGGGCGCTCTGCTCAGCCTGCAGCCCAACATGTGAGTGCGGGGACCGGAGGGCTTGCGGGGCGTCCAGAGACCGGGCCCCTGGGCGGCTTTGTCCCTGGGGCCCTGCGAGCGGTGCGCTCTTTGCCATAACTGGGGAGGGGGTGGTAAGAGACTAGGGTCAGGGGCTGGGTGTGCACCGTGCGTTGGCGCTCAGGCCCATTCTGCACGCCGGCTGAGGTGAGGCAATTCAGGTCCCTGCCGGCACAGGCTGGCGGGGGAGCCCGGCTCGGAGCAGGCAGGAAGGAAGCAGCTCTTTCCCACTTCCTTGGGGTGGGGGGGCTGTGCAGGGGCGGGTTGTGCCCAGACAGGGGGCCCCTCCAAGAATGTGTTAAACACATGTGCTTTGGGGCTGAGAGGCAGGAGAAGGAATTCAATACCAGAATGGGCAGGAAGAGAGGGTCAGGAGGCAGGCGAGATGAATTCAGTTTTGAAAGCTGATTCCCCAATGGGTTGTTTAGTGGTCTCTCTTAAACAGCAAATCCGCCCTAGTGTTGGCCTCAAAGGAAAACTGGTGCTGAAGGGAGGGGCAGAGGAGGGGGCAGGAAGCCTGCCCACTGCCCCCAGCCCGGGACTCCTGCAGGGTGCCTGCAGGGCTGCAGAAGGGTGGTGGAGCAGCCCAGGCTGGGGGTACTGCCTGTCCGGCACACCCCCAGGGGGTTCAGTGCACCTGGCCCCAAAGGACTGAGCCGACTGGCTTCCAGGCAGAGACGGGGGTGGGCAAGCCCACGCCTCTAGGACTCCTGCTCTAAGTCTTGCTTTACTCCAAGAGGAAAGTTTCCTTGTGGCTTTTCAAAGGAGCACGGTCTCTGGGGTGGGGGCCCTTGTGTCCAGAAATGTGTGTGCCCGAGTCTCTGGCCGGACCCTCCGCTGACTTCTACTGGGCATTCCTCTGTGATCCCAGGGAACTGAGTTTGTTGGAGGGAAGCCCCAACATCGGCAGGGATTGTCACAGGGGCTTTCCACCCTTCAGCCTGCCTGTTCTTCGCATGGTGAGCCTGGGGCCTCCAGGGGCCCAGGCTCCTGGTGTTCCCGGGTGCCAGTCTGGTGGGCAGCTGCTCAGCCGATGAGGATGGAGAGCTCCGCTCTTAAGAAGGGGCTTCTGCCCCGTGCGCTGTGGAGACTGCAGGTCGCCCTTCCTGGCCCCCTTCCCTGAGCCCTGGGGGAGTGGAGCCAAAGGCCTGTTTTTGTGAGGTTCCCCCCCTGGGGAAAACTGCATCAGCAGTGAGCGGGCTGCATGAGATCCCCATCTGTTCTGCTTCGTGCTTTCCCCGAGCCTCCTCTCTCCTTGCTCTTCAAACCCTGGGCTCCTTCAAGGCTGCACCCACTCCTCTTCAGGGGCCCCTCACCTGGCCTAGCTACCTGCGGCTTCTATTCTCCAGTTGCCCCACTCGCGCTGAGCTTTGTGACACCTAGGGACACACTTTCCCCAGTCTGTGGGTCTGGTAAGCGCCTGGTGCTGGTCCCAACATGTGGTAGGGCCACAGTGGGCATGCCTGGCAGCTGAATGACTCGTGGGGTGCACCCTTCAGCTGTCCCCAGCGAGGTGGAAAATGGTGGGCTCCTGGAGATGCCAGAATGTGCTCTGTGCACCTGCACCCCAGAACGGCAGAGCAGATAGGGTCCCAGAAAGTGCTTCCCTGCCTCCCCTCCCTTAGTGGGGTTCTGGCAAGCCTGCAGGGCCTGGCACGTGCAGCCCCACCCTCTGGGGCCAGTGTTCCTGAACCTCCGGCTGGGCCTCTGGGCTTGGGCAGGGGTGCTGTAAGGCATGGTCCCACCTATTCACAGCATCAGATGCTCTGGGCACCCTTGTGGACCTGCAGGAGCAATATGGTTGCCTATTCAGCCCACTGTGGCTGAGTTAAAACCACTCAGCATGCACGTACGTATTCACTTATTTATGCCTCAAAAGTACATTTCTGCTGCTGAGGAAGAATGGCTTGCTTTTCTTCCTGTGGACTAGAATGACTGCTGGCTGCACGTGGGGCCAGCCCAGGGCTGCTGGCGGGGCCATGGGAGCAGGGTCTGGGCACAGGGAGAGAATGTCCCCAGGCACCAGAGTCCTGACCCGCATGGTCCAAGGCTGCATCTGTGGTAGATGTCCACCCCTGGGGGCCGGAGTGCCCCTGGCAGCTGCATTTGGAAAATGGCCTCTGCTTGGGAGGCAGTTAGGTGAGCTGACCTCGCCCATCCAAACGTAAGTCCTGCCTTACAAGTAGCTCTTGGACCCACTGGCCCCAACTCTGGAAGGGCCCCATCCCCTGAGGCCGAGGCTGCCTTGGGCATCCAGGAGCCTGCTCACCGTCAGGGAGTTTCAGAGCTGCACAAATCTCTTCTGAGCTTGGCATGTTTGTTGTCTGTATGCTGCCCTGTGTGGGTTCAGGGTGCTAGGGAGCCACTGCGATCTCAGGGGATGCTGGTCCCCCGAAGCTGGCTGTGACCCTTCCATGCTCCCGGGGTGCCCCCCTGCACACCTCGCTCCTTCTTCTTGTCCTCCTGAGCGAACTCCTGTTCAGCGGTGGGCCCAGCTGGACCAGCTCAGGGCACAGCTTTGAGGCCCAGATGGCTGGGACGGGGAGAGCCAAGAGTCACGGTCACATGGACCCAGGGTCATTGCTGCTGCTCCCACAGACCTCAGGTCCCTTGTGCAGGGAGCAGCAGGGTGCTCAGATGCTTTCTCCTCCAGCTCCTGTCCCTGCGAGCCTGCACCTGCTGTGGGTCTTGGGTAGGCGCCGGGTGGGCATCCTGCTGTGGGGCCTGGCCACAGGTCTGGGCCCCACCCCAATGGCTGGGTTCCCCAGGGCAGGCATGCAGGAGGGCAGGCGTGCCAGCTGTGGTGGCTGGGGCACTGACTGTCTGTCCTCTGCCTCAGGCCGCATGTGTGTGCTGAGCAGGAGCTGACCCTGGTGGGCCACCGCCTGCCCTGCGTGCGGGCCTTCAGCCGGACCGTGCCGCTATGGAAGCCGGGCTGTGGGCGGCAGGCCTGGTGTGTCGGCCACGAGCGGAGGTATGTGGCAGGGCCCAGGGGTCTGGTGTGGCAGTGGGGCTCTGCTCACAGCAGAGCAGCTCTCGTTGCCCAGGAGTGGGATGGCCAGGGCAGGCGGCCATCCTGGCCCCAGGGCCACCAGCAGTCCCCAAGGCCCACATCTGAGGTCAGGGCCTCTCACACCCTCCTAGAGGGGAGGCCAGCATGGAAGCAGTTCCCATACGGTAGTACTGCTCATGGGGCCTTCATGGGTGGGTCGGGGACCCTTAGGGAATGGGGGACCTAAGGGGATGGGGTGCTCTGAGGAGAGCAGAGAATCGTGTGGGGGAGGTGGACACCCCTTCAGGGCGGCAGTGTTTGTGTCGGGGAGGCTGAGGACCTTGCACCACAGGAGAGGGGGAGTCTCATGAGGGAGGTGGGGACCCGAGGGGGAGGGGAGCTGGCTGTGCAGGAGGGTGAAAAGGGGTGCCCGGCCTGCCGAGTTCCCAGCTGGAGACCTCTTTTGTCTTGTTCCCAAGTCTGTGTGAAATTTTTTATTGCTCAATATTTTATTTCAAAATCAAATTAAGGAGAGCCTTTGTATGACTCTTCTCTTTTTATAGATTGGGGTTCTGGAATCTGCCTGATTGCAAAGCTGGGTGTGTGTGGGGGGCAGCTAGCTTGGGTAACCCCTCGGCCTGGAAGCTGGTGGCTGCTCCCAGGTTGGGTGGAGGGAAGGTAGCGACGAGTCCCCAGATAGGGTGTGGTGTCCAGCTTCTCAGCAAGGTCTTTGTGGGGACCAGCTGTGCGGTGTCATCCGTGTGGGGCGTGAACCTGCTGTGCCTGTCCCTGGGCGGTGCATTTTTCATTTAAAATGTTTGTCTGCTGTACCATATGTGTTCAGGAAGGAGGAAAGTACAGCTCAGTTCTGACAGTGGTTCTGACAGCGGTTCCCATTGGGCTCCCTCCCCGGGGACCTTGGCAATGTCTGGAGACAGCCTCTGTTGTGCTGGGTGAACTGGGAGGGTGGGACCTCTGTAGCTGGCAGGTGGAGGGCAGGGATGTGGCTGGACATCCTATGGCACAGGGGATGGCCCTCAACCACGAAGAAGCCCACCCAAATGTCAGGAGGGCTGGGGCTGAGAAATGCTCCCCCTGTGCCCCCGAGATGCATACTCGGCCGTCTGTCCTTCCGGACCTTCACGCGTGTGCAGATGTGTGCGTGCTAATAAAATGGGAATGAGGTCACGTTGGCTGCGTGCTCCCCAGCAGTGCGTGGTGAAGGGTGCTATTCCTGGGAGCAGCCAGAAGCCCTGTGGCCTCGGGACTGGAGACTACAGTGAGTGACCGTGCTGGGGACTCCCCGCAGCTGGCAGGCAGATGATTTCCCTGTGTGCTGTCCCCAGGCTGGCCTGGGCAGGGCGGGAGCAGCGTGTCCAGACTGGCTGGGTATTGTCAGCCCCCTGGCAGGGAAGGCCTGGCTGTCAGGGAGGGCCACACCATCCGGGCCGTGTGTGGTGGGGACAGGGTCTGCCATGGTTCCTGTCTAGGGGGCCTGTGTTCTTGTTGGTTTCCTGGGAAGGCTCAGGACAGGCCTGCGTGCAGAGCAGAATCTGGGGCTCCTCTTCGTGCGAGGGGGCTGAGCCCCCTCTGCGATCTGCAGGAGCAGTGCAGGCCCCTGGCCTCGGGTGGGGGCAGGTGGCCGTCTGCCTGGCCTGGGTGGGATGCGGCTGGGACCGCTCTTTGCCCACCCTGCGCAGGCTCTTGCCGGTCGGAGAACGAGAGCCTCACAGCCTGTCTGCGCCCTGCGGGTTGCCTGCAGTCTGCACCAGCGTGCCGGGCCCGCCTCCCTGCTCTTCCGGGGGGCTTCCCGCATGGCTGATATGTCGCGACCCCTCCTGCATTGCCCTCAGATGAGCCCACCCTGCTGGCCGTGGGATGTTCGCCAAATGCCTCCTCCAGATGTCCCTTGGCTGCAGTCAAGGCTGGGCCAGCACCTCGGAGGCCCTCTGATGCTCTGTGCACCCCTGTGGAGCCGGCCCTGGCCCCCGACCCTCCCGGGTGGATGTCACTTCTCCTCTGAGCACATCAGGGGCGTTTCTCTGACAAGCCCGCCAGCCAGCCCAGGCCGCCCCAGGCTGGGGGAGCCCCCTCAGCTGCATAAAGGGCCCTTTGCTCTCTGCGGGGTGGGGTCCACTAGAAGGAAGGAAGGAAGGAAGGAACGAGGGAGGGAGGAGGGTGGGGACGCCTGGAGCACAGAGCCTGGAGCCCCCACGGAGCCCCTCCCACCAGGCCCAGGCGCGCAAGGTGGAGAAGTGGGCGCCAGCCCAGTAGCCACGTCACCTGTCAGCCCCTCTGTGAACTGGCTTCTCCGCTGTGGCTGGAGCCGGAATGAGCCGTCCACTATGTCCAGTGTAAGCGGCAGGGGAGTGAGGGCGGGGGCTCATGGGGCCTGTGGGAGCTGCAGGCTGATTGTCCTCTCCAAGGGTCTCAAGTTTTAGGGGGGCACAGGGGAGGGTGGCAGATGGGCCTGTCGCCCCATCTTCCGGTGACCACGAGGAGCTGCACGTAGCCCGGGAGAGGGATAAATATTTATGATGGAAGGGTCCAAACACTGCTTTGCCAAACGTCCGCTGCGGCCGCTTCTCCCCAGGCGAGCGGTTTCATGTCCTGCCAAAGTGGGATTTTGCAAAGCTGTCCTGAGCTGTGTGCAGTGTGCGTGCACACACTCATGCTTCCGGGAAGGGCTCTTGTTTATTTGTGGGGTCTAGGTCCCCCGGGCGGCCACAGGCTTCCCCCTACTCCCGAGGGCCGAGCCCTGGCAAGCCAGGAGGGTGTTTGTTACCTGGAGACGCAGTGCAGGCCCTTGGGCCACTCCCAGGGGCTCAAGGGCCCTTGAGCCTGTGGCTGTTGGCCAGGCCCTGGTCACAGTCCCACAGAGAGCAGGGGGCTGGGAGTTGGGTGCCTGAAGGCTGTGGGGCGGCCCTGTTTGTTCCTTCCTCTCCTGTGAGGCCATTCTTTCTGTTGCTCTCCCTCCCTCCTGCCCCCCCACAACCAGCCCTGTCACTGTCATCACAGGGCCCTCACTGCCGAGGGACCTGGGGGCAGGTGCCGAGCATGGGGTCCTGTGTGAGCTTCCTGTGGCTGCTGTGGTTTCAGACAAGAGCCGTTTCCTCTGCTGTCATCCTGGAGCGGGAGTCTGAGACCGCAGGACAGGCAGGGCTGGTCCTCCCGGAGGCTCCAGTGACAGCGGGCAGTCCTTGGCCCCCTTTGGCTTCTGGCTGCATTGCTGACCTCTGCCTCGGAGCTCACGTGGCCTTCACACCTGTGTGTCAGTCTCCAAACGCCCCTCTTCCAATGACACAGTCATTGGGTTAGGGGCCCCCCGACACCCCGCAGGCTAGATTGGCCTCAACTTGATTCCATCTGCAAACACTGTGGCCAGATAAGGCCACAGGTTCCAGGAGGGCATGGATCCGGGGGGACGCTGCTCAGCCAGTACAAGCAGTGAGGGACACGGGGCCTGCGCAGGGCAGGTAGCCAGCAGTCTTGCTGGCTGCCCACTAGGTAAGGGGTGGAGGTTATCTGGGCAGGGGAGAGGAGGGGAGGGCGGGGAGGGCAGCCTGTGCAGCTCCGTGCGGGTCACCAGGGTCAGATCCTTGGCTGTTGTAAACAGAGCTTTCTGGAGGGACACAGATCCTTCCAAAATCGGGGGCCCAGCCAAAGAGGAACAGGGTGTAGGAGCCCTGGGGTGCTGGGTGTGGCCGAAATGGGGCCATGTGGGACCAGGGCACCCTCTGCCTCCCACCCTGGCCGCTGCCGCAGGTTTGGGGCTGCAGGGTAAGCCCTGGGCAGGTGAGACTGCCCTGCTCTCTGGGGGCCAGCGATGCCAGGGGGGCGGGACGGAGGCTGGTGGTGGGCAGACCACCTTGCTGAGGGCACCCCGAGCTGTCAGGCTTCTAGGGGCCTGGTGGTGCAGATGGCCTGGGGCAGCCTGTGGATTTGGGGAGGGGACAGCCTGGAGCCTCCGCTGGTCCGTGGCTTCCTGTGCTTGTTCTCTGCTAGGCCAGAACCCCAAACCCTCGAAAATGGCCTGGGGAAAAGAGCCAGTGTGGCCCTGTGCCCACCCTGCTGCCCCTCGCTCAGGACCCTTGCCTTCCATCAGCTCTGAACCCCAACCTGCTCAGCCTGAAATGGGGACAGTGGGAGAAGTGGTTGGGGAGGGATGGGCGAGGGCCCCAAGCAGCAGCGGAAATGCCACGGCCCTGTGCTCAGTCAACGCTTCCCTTCTCCCTTCTTGTCTAGAATCGTATACTACGTGGGCTACAGGCAGGTGTACACCATGGAGGCCCAGACCGTGCTCAGGTGCTGCCCAGGGTGGAGCCAGCAGCCCGGCGACCAGGGCTGCTTCTCCCGTGAGTACCGTGCCCACCCCGCACTCCCACCTGCGCCCAGGAGGAGGCGGGACGCGGCCCCTCCCTTGCCTGGTGGGAGTCCTCACTGTGCACCTAAGGCTCGCGGGCCAGGTGTTCAGCCACCGCTCACCGAAGGCTATTAAACAAGATCCTAGAAGGAAGAAGGAGCGAGCCCCACAGCACTGCGGCTGGCAGGGGCCGTGACCCCGGGCACCCCGTGCCTGGCTCTGGGAGGGGCCTGAGGGTCGCCTGGGGCCCTGTGTTGGTGTCACTGGGCTCAGATGCCTCTGAGCCGGGCTCAGGGTCACTGTTGGGGAGCGTGGCCCCTCGCCTGCCTGTCCTTTGCCTACCGTGTTCCCAGGAAGGCCTGTGCTGGGCACTGGGCCCTCGGCCCCCATGCCCCCCGCCCCCTGCCCCCCGCCTCCTACTGACCAGCGCCCTGGGCCTCAGACTTGTCTGCTGAATGGCACATGAATCGCTGTCCTTATTCTCTCCTGACCCCCATGTCCTGGCAGAGCAAGGGAGGGGGAGCCCCCAGGTATCAGGGGAGCAGCACTGGGCACAGGTGGGCATGTGCACAACTGGGCGGGCAGGTGAGGCTGCCTGGGTAAGAGGAGTCAGCATCCCTCCCCTGGAGAGCCTGGCCCAGAGGTCTGGCTTCCCCTGTGCTGTGCCGTGGCACCTGGTGACGTGAGGAGAGGGACGGGGTCCTGCCGCGGGGGTGGCTGGGTTCTCGGTTACCCTGTGTTGGGGGCTAGATGAGGTTGGCTGTTCTGTGATGGAGGCAGGAACTGGACTTGAGGGGTCATGGTCCAGCCCGCCTCTGCTGCAGTCCTCACAGGAAACGGGGCTGGAGATGCCCATGAACTCCAGGGGGATAAGGGGACAGAAAAGGATGGCAGAGGTGTTTTCCCAGGGCAGCTAATGAATCTCCCAAGTAAGAGTGTTGGAGGAAGAGGGGGAAGGGGCTCAGGGCCACCCACGGGTAGGGGAGGCAGTGGCGGGGACATGCCAGCGCACCCTTGGGTGGGGCATCCCAGGCCCCAGCATTAGCCTCGCCATCCGAGGCTCTCTGGTTCCAGGGGCTGATGTGAGCCCTTTTCTCTTCTGGGAAACAAAGGGGACTGTTGAGTGGGGATGCGGGGCCGACATCAGAGCCAAGGTCCCAGGGTTCCCACTCCAAGGGGGGGTCCCTCAGGCCTGCCAAAGGTGGCTTTAGCGGTCAGGCAGGCACTGGGGCTTGCGGGAGAGAGCACGGCCTGTGGGGAGGGACGTGGGTGTGCGACCTCATGGCTGGCCCGGGGTGCGGTTCTCTGGGTTTGGCCTCCTGGGCTGGCGGGGCGGGGATGTGTGCACCCCTCCCTCAGGAGGGGAGCCAGTGCGCAGCTCGAGGTTTGCACAGCGCGTCCCCACTGTTGTCTGCTTTGCACCCCTGGCCTGGGGTCTGCTGGCTCTTGGTCTCCCCTGGGTCTTGGAGTGATCTTCCAGAGTTGGGTAGGGTGAGGGGTGGCAGGGCCAAGGGCGGTCAGACCCCGGGGGCTACCGGGGCCTCCACCCGCTGCGGAGAGGAGCCCACGTGCCGGCTTCCCTGGAACAGGGGCCGCCTCGGGATGGGTCTGCCGGGCCTGGGGCTGTGCGTCTGTCATCCCTGTCCGGCTCCTGCTGAGCTCTGGGCCTGCCCTTGAGCTATGTCTGTGGGGGGGCCATGAAGGACGAGGTGGCTGGGCCGTGGTGTCCTCTGGAAGGAGGGGGATGCAGCCAGGGGGGGCCACAGCCCTGGGCAGCAGGGGGGGTGGCAGAGCTGACCTCTGCAGTTCCTCAGCACCCGGACCTGGGCTGGGACCCTCCAGGGGGCAGCCTTGCCCCTGCAGAGCTGGAGGAGCTGGGCTGAGGGCAGGCCTGGGAGGGCAATGGCAGGGGAGGGTCCTGGCTGCTGGGAGACATGGACAGAACCTGCCTGTGTGTCCTGGGCTTGAGGCTCTGCCTTCTTTGTTGTTTATTTTTAAGAATTCATTTTTAGTGCAGGATTTATGGATTTATGTATTTGGCTTTTATTTGTTTGTTCTAACTATCCAGGAAGAGCCTGTGATCTGGCCTTTGGGGACACTCGCTTGTTCCCGTGTCTGAGTTGCCAGCATGAGAAGGAAAGGCAGTAGGGGGCTTGTGGGGGTGCATGTGCCTGGAGTCCTGGCCCCGGGCACGGGAGGGGTGCCAGCCACTGTCGATTTTTGTTCATTCATTCATTCATTTTCTCACTGTATTCATTCGGGGTTTGCTCAGCTGCCAACCCCGGGGGGGCTCAGGGAGACTGTGCAGGGCCACTCCCGCCCAGGGGCAGCTCCGGTCCTAGGCGAGGCTGCTATGCCTCCGGTGTGACGGGGCGGTGGAGAGCCGTGGGGCCCCAGCTTGGGGTTGGGTAGAGGAGGCCAGCAAGGCAGGGGCTGGGAGGGCTCAGGGGGCTGGCTGGGGCCCAGAATAGGAGGAAGTGAGGGTGGCAGGGGACGGAGGGGACACGGACGCAGAGGGGAGCTTGGTGGGGCGGCCAAGGAAGGGGGTGCTGCGCAGGAGCCTCCCTCCGGCTGCCCCTCTGCTGGGGAGTGTGCTTCTTGCCTTGAGCCGAGCCCTGGAGGGCCCTCCACCACCTGCCCTGTGTGAGCCCCTGGGAAGCCCTGCCTCAGTGGGTCAGGTGAGAGTCTGGGGTGGCTGCCTCTGTCCCTCCTCCCTGCGTGCAGGGTGCCACGGCTGGGTCAGGGCCCTCCCAGCCCCTGAGCACATGGAGCCTATGGTGGCGGACCCCGTGTGGGAGAGGCGCCCCCTCCCAGCAGAGGGGAGCCCGGGTCAGGATTCCCGCCTCCACCCCCCTACTACCCCTCCTAGTGCCTTCCCCCCCCACCCCCCGACTTGGCCAGCACCTTCCCTCATTCCCCGTCCAGGCTCTGCAGCCAGAGGGCTGGAGAGGCTGTCAGGCCGGGCAGGACAGCTGGGGCGCTGCTCACCAGGCTGGCCTCCGCCCCACCCGCCAGCAATGTGACATTCCCTTGCTTTGGTGTGACCTGGACAAAGTCAGGGCCTGGTGGTGTTTGTGGCACAGAGCCGTGGGGAGAATGACAGGGAGCTTCTGGCGGTGTGGCTCCAAGACCCACGCACAGAGCCTGTGACCTGGAAGTGACTGGAAAGAAAGAGGGGTGTGGCATAAGCCCAATGACCAGGGGGCTCCCAGGGCCTGCGCGCCCACCTCTGGGTGCTGGGGCCTCCGACCCCTTCGGCTCTTCCTGTCAGCCCTGCCCGCCCAGCCGCTCTCTGAGTTCCATGTTTTTCCAGTCGGGAGACAGGTTTTGCCTGGACCCTCTGTGATATTTCAGCCGCAGTCACCGTGGGCCCCCCATCAAATCGCTCCCTGAAGGTGGAGGGGAGGTCCCTGGCCCTGCTCCTGGCCCCCCACCGAGTAGACCGGGTGGCGGACACACCAGCTCCTGCTCTCACCCGCCGTGAGGTGGGCTTTGTCCATCTGAAGAGGCCTGGGCAGGAAGGCAGGGTCCGGGGAGGTGCGGGGAGCCACACCAGCCCCACGGAATGGGATGAGCTCCGGGAAAGGGAATCAATCTGTGGACCAGGAGGCTTTGGATAAAGCACAGCTAGGCAGGTTCCGCTTCGCAGGACTTCTCAGGGCCTTTAATATGCTAATGTGCTCTGTGCTGTGTCTGTTCCCCAACTAATTGTTTAGAAAGAAAGAAGGAAAAGTTAACAACAAAGCCAAAGAAAGCAATAACCAGTGTCCCTCAAGCTGCACTGAGGGATCCTGATGCCCGTGCTCCCAGGGACAAACCTCACGGAGGGCCAGCAGGGTGGAGGGCCCAGCGCTGTGCTGGGCGCGGGCGGGTGGCAGTGGCAGACACAGGACTCGTGCTCTTCAGCAGGGGACACGCAGAAAGCAGGCAGTGTTGTGCCAGGTCCTGGGAAAAGCCCGAGAGAGTGGGGGCGGGGCCGGGTGGGAGGGGGCGGGGCTCAAATAGCTCAGATCGACCCTGTTCAGCTCTGGAGACCCCAGGTCTGAAATCAGGGTGCCGGCAGGGCCGTGCACCCCCCGCAGGCCTTGGGGAGGGTCCTTGCTGTGGCCTGGCGCTTCTGGGGGTGCTGCCCCCGGCATCACCCCGGGCTCGCGGGTCGTCACGTGGCCTGTGTCCCGCATGTCCCGTTCTGCCTGCATGAGGACCTCGCTGCGGATGGGACCCCTGCTCTGCTGTGGGTGCAATCCTTAGCTTGGTCAACCTGCAAAGACCCTACTTCCAAACAAGATCCCACTGGGGGTCCTGGGTGGACACAAATCTTTGGGGGACACAATCTAACCCACCACAGGGGGGCAGGTCCCAGGGCCCTTGTAAGGACAGGGCGCCCGTGCAGGGCCTGAGCAGAGGAGGGACACAGTCTCTGGAGGGCAGAGGCCAGACATCTCAGATGGCCCAGATGGGGGTGGGTGGCCTTGATCAGGGAGCAGTGGTGAGAAGCGGTCAGATTTGGGGTTTGCTGATGGAGTGGGAACTGGCCATGGCTGTGTCTCCAAGAAGGCTGGGGTCTCAGGACCACAAAGGCCCCAGGACCTGTGTGCTGCAGGTGGGTGGGGCAGCACGGTCCCTGACTCCAGAGCAGACCCCCAGAGGTGACCGCAGTCTGGGGAGGACACCGCAGCCTGGCCACCCAGAGCTTTCTCCACCGCTATCCCAGACCCTCTTGGTCACGCCTGCTGTCTTGCTGCCCAGTAGATGCCAGGCTGTCGGGAAAAATGTGTGGCCTGCAAGGGGCTCACGTCAGTAGGGGGGATCTGATGTGTTGCTGCAGGAACGGGCGGGGAGGCTGTGCTGGCTGCCCTCTGCCCGTATCTGGGGTTGGCCGGGACCAGGGGCCCTCTGGATGCAGCCCTGCATCTGGGCTTGGCGCCCCTGCAGGCCCACCCTGCCTCGTGGTCCATGCTGCCCCCTCTGTGACCCTGTGGCTCCGGGCCT